GAGGATATTCAGGAGGCTGTACCGCACCTCCTTGCGTACATCAATAATGAAGGAGATACTGCATTCCGTGGTTGGTCGAGGATGGCTGTGCCAATCAAAGAATTTAAGATAACGGAGGTAAAGCAGCCAAATATTGGTGAGGTTAAGCCTGCTTCTGTGACAGCCGAAGTAACTTTTAGCATTTCCAGTTATAGAGCTCAAGTAAGATCAGAGTGGAATGCCCTCAAAGAGCATGATGTCCTATTTTTGCTCTCCATCCGCCCCTTGTTTGAGCCTCTTAGTGCAGACGAAGCATCAAAAGCTAGTGTGCCACAGAGGCTTGGCCTTCAGTTTGTGAGGGGATGTGAAATTATTGAGATCCGTGACGAAGAGGGAACTCTAATGAATGATTTTACGGGAAGAATCAAACGTGATGAGTGGAAGCCCCCAAAGGGCGAATTGAGGACTGTTACTATTGCTCTGGATGCAGCGCAGTACCATATGGATGTCACTGATATTGCAGAGAAAGGTTCGGAGGATGTTTATGGCACATTTAATATATTGATGAGAAGAAAACCCAAGGAAAACAACTTCAAGGCAATATTGGAATCAATAAGGGACCTTATGAATGAATATTGCATTGTTCCTGACTGGTTGCACAACATATTTCTGGGCTACGGGAATCCTTCTGCAGCACAGTGGACTAATATGCCTGATCTTCTTGACGTTGTAGATTTTAAAGATACTTTCCTTGACACAAACCATTTAAAAGAGTGTTTCTCGGAATATGAGGTCAGTTATCGTGATGATCTTTTCTACTTGTTTTCTGTGAAACATTTTCTAATGTCATCTAGTAACAGTTTTTTCCATCCTGGCTTTAGGTGTCCTTCGTGAATCCAGATGGCTCGGAAAACTCCCTACCAAAACCCCCTTTTCGCATAAGACTTCCGAGGACTTTGAAAGCCAATACCCATGCTCTTCCTGGGAACAGGAAATCTGATACTTTTAATGTGGTGGATGCTGGTTCTGAAAAGGAAAATCTCATTGTTGAAGCTTATATTCCCCCTGATCCAGGTCCTTATCCCCAAGATCAGCCGAAGCAAAATTCTGTTAGATTCACACCTACACAGGTAGTGAATTTTTCTTCTTACCCGAGATTCTAAAGTCCAAAAGTCAGAGGAATGGTATGCTGATTGATTCAAGTCGTATTGTTTTTGCAGGTTGGGGCAATTATCTCAGGCATCCAACCAGGACTGACGATGGTTGTTGGTCCACCTGGTACTGGAAAGACTGATACAGCAGTGCAGATATTGAACGTTCTTTATCACAATTGTCCTTCTCAGAGAACGTTGATAATTACTCATTCAAATCAGGCTCTTAATGACCTTTTTGAGAAGATAATGGAGGTAAGCTTTCACAACCATGTCTAGATGGAAGGTGTCTTCTATGGACCGAGTACATGCACTGCTTCCATTTTAACAGTTAAATTTGGTGGGCGCATGTGTTGAAAGTATGTGGCCGATAGGGGCATATTTGTCTATGTCCTTTATTATTTTATATGTATGGCAGCAATGAGGGTAATATTGTAATTTTGGCCTTTTGGCTTTATTATAAATATATAGCTTGGGGTCACATCGACCTAACCAAGCATTCGTTTCAGTTTTTTGTCTCTCAACATGGTATGTTTCACATTATGGGACCTACTATTCAGTGGTGCAAATAGACCCAAGGTGCATGCTGCCGGACTGTGCAATCACATCTCATCAAATTTGGAGATTCCTATTCTTGGTGCCTAGTACAGATTGTGGCATTTTTCATTTTATTTGTGCTTTGGATATTTCCAACTGTGATCTCAATGAAGTTATAAATTGACTTCTATTGTCGAAATATAAATTGATTTAAATTGGCATCCTTGTTGATTACAGAGGGATGTGCCTGCTCGCTATCTTCTTCGGCTAGGTCAAGGAGAACAAGAACTGGCAACTGATCTGGACTTCAGCAGGCAAGGTCGCGTCAATGCGATGCTTGTTCGGCGATTAGAATTGCTTAGTGAAGTGGAAAGGCTCGCAAGATCTCTTGGACTGCCTGAGGATGTGGGTTACACTTGTGAAACAGCTGGTTACTTTTGGTTGCTCCATGTATATTCACGTTGGGAGCAATTTCTTGCTGCTTGTGTTGATAATGAAGATAAACCATCATTTGTTCAAGATCGTTTCCCCTTTAAGGATTTCTTCTCTGACACTCCTCAGCCTGTTTTCACTGGTCAGTCATTTGAAAAGGACATGCGAGCTGCTAAAGGGTGTTTTCGCCATCTTAAAACCATGTTTCGGGAGCTTGAAGAGTGTAGGGCATTTGAATTGCTCAAGTCAACGGCTGATCGAGCAAATTACTTGATGACCAAGCAGGCAAAGATTGTGGCAATGACTTGCACTCATGCAGCCCTTAAAAGGAAAGATTTTCTTCAATTAGGTTTCAAGTATGACAACTTATTGATGGAAGAAAGCGCCCAAATACTAGAAATTGAGACTTTCATCCCAATGTTGCTTCAGAGGCAGGAAGATGGTTATGCACGCCTTAAACGCTGTATATTGATTGGCGATCACCATCAGTTGCCTCCAGTTGTAAAGAATATGGCTTTCCAGAAGTACAGCCACATGGATCAGAGCCTCTTCACTAGGTTTGTTCGTCTGGGTATACCCTACATTGAGCTTAATGCGCAGGGTAGAGCCAGGCCAAGTATTGCCAAGCTTTATAACTGGAGGTACCGTGATTTGGGAGATCTTCCTTTCCTAAAGGAGGCTGCCATCTTCCACAAAGCAAATGCTGGGTTCACTTATGATTATCAATTAATTGACGTGCCTGATTACAATGGGAGAGGTGAGAGTGCCCCTTCCCCCTGGTTCTATCAGAATGAAGGAGAGGCTGAATACGTAGTTAGTATCTATATGTACATGCGCTTGCTAGGGTACCCAGCAAATAAGATTTCCATCTTGACAACTTACAATGGCCAGAAACTTTTGATCCGCGATGTTATCAACAGACGATGTGTTCCTTATGACTTCATCGGTCCTCCCAGCAAGGTAAGCTATGACTGGCTGTGACTTCTGTGATGGTTTATTCACGGGTTTCTATGAACTAATTAAAATTGTTAAGTTTGGTCCTTGATACTAGATTTTCTTTTAGTGACAAAAGAACTTGTTTGATGGTTTTGTGTGATGATTTCTTTTAAGTTAGATTCATGGAACGCTGTTAGAATTTTGCAGTAGACTGCATTTTTTCGTCAGATTTGCTTTTATAATAACAGATTTGATGAACTTATCTGTGAAAAGCTTGTTTACTATACCAAACTATTTTCAGTGGCAATACTCTGTTAGCGAGTCTATGACCTTATAAATTTCGTGCTCACTGTGCTTTTGATAAGATTTCTGGAAAGGGACGTACAGTGATTTTTGTCCTCCATGTTTAACTCTCTTGTTTTCTCCCGTCATATGCATTGAAATCTCGATTAGTCAAGTATATTTACGGAAGCTAGGGATGAGTTGGTAAACTTGGGTCAATAGCATGAATATACTTTCCTCATCACTTTACTCAAAGTACCATGTAGGATTGATCAATGAATGTGATACAAAGGCATCAGTATTTAGGATTCTATTCTATTTTTCTGTTCAGATATAAATAAATCCCTGAAATGATAATTATCCTTTCTCTCCCATTTTCAATAGGTCACTACAGTTGATAAGTTCCAAGGTCAGCAAAATGATTTCATCTTGCTGTCTCTTGTGCGTACGCGCTTTGTTGGACACCTTCGTGATGTTAGACGATTGGTTGTCGCCATGTCTCGTGCCCGACTTGGGTTGTATGTTTTTTGTCGCCGCTCTTTGTTTGAGCAATGCTACGAGCTACAGCCAACATTCCGGCTATTACTTCAAAGGCCTGATCATCTTGCTCTAAATCTCTATGAGGATACTTCATATACTGATCGGCACGTTGAAGACACAACAGATAGGTATCTAGTCAGTGGTCTTGAGGAGATGAGCAGCATTGTCATGGATAAGATATATCGGACTTATCAGGTATTTATCTCTTCCTTCACAACATAGCAATTTAGCAAATGAAGTGTGGGCATTTTTTGGTGCCTTAATACGAAAGAAGTTGATTTGCTTCAAGTTGCCACAATGGAGCATTTTGTGGCTATAGATTTCTGTTTGTATCGTTTTGTGATTATATGGGAGCACGCTTAATCTAACTTTTTATTTCGGAAAGAGAGAACCGGTGCTACCAACTGACATTTCTATGATTTATTGGAGAGCTCCTTAGATTTAAATATTATGCAGTTTAGGGAAATATAAACTAATGCAAGCCGTGATGCTTCGAGTATTGGCGAGACTAATTGGTGAATAGCATTAGACAAATGACTGGCAGAGAAAATTTAGTTGGAAAATTGAAGCAAGCTTGAAATCAACTACTGCTTCTTGCTTTATTTTATTTTTTTGGGTCAAATGCTTTAGTTTTCATTCCAATGGAAGATTTGCAGAACTTAGTTTTAGGATATTCTGTTTCTCATGAGCTGGTTCTTAGTTAGTGTTTATCACAAACGAGCTAAACATGATCTCCATTTTCCTGGGTGCAGATGAGGAACCCCCAATGGGATCAATATATGGCTTATTCAGAACAAGTAGCTGGTGCCATGAGTGACAATGAAGTTCCGAATGACCATATGATTTCAACATCTTCACGGGAAACCGAGAATGCTAGCACGCCTGTGCCTACGGGTAACACATCCAGAAATATGCTTACTGATAATGAAGAGGATAGTGCAGCAGTCCATGATTCTGTAAATGATGAGAATGGAGATTTGCCTCTTCAGAGTCAACAGAAAGGGGAAACTGAGCCGGAAGTCCATAGATCTGACGGAAATGGTGACATGCTAGAGAGCTCGAACGATGTGACAAAGATGCAGGAGTAGTATGTTGTATGAATCCATCTATGGTTGAAGATCCGCTGCCCTTTTTATTCGGCAATGTCAAGGAGCAGTTCCCGGAGGATTGGAATGATGCAGTTGAGCCTCTTTCTCATAGTCGGCTCCACTTGTAGACGAGATGAGCAGTTTCTCAAGAATACTATCAAATGGTAAGATATCTAATGTTCTCTGTTCCCAGGGGAGCCACGTGAAAGTTGCGATTTTGAAATACTGTACTGGAAGATATTGTTAAGTGCATCCTCAGGGTCCAGGGTACGAATTGTAGCATAGTTTCTGCTGTACAGTGCCTAATTATTGATCTTGGTAATATTAGATGCAGCCAATCTTGAAGTTTTGACAATATTTTTTCTTTCAAGTTCTGCTTCTCCATGGCTTGGTTTCCAAAGTTTCGCCATTAAACGTCTGAAGAATTCAATCTTTTCTTCCCCTATTTTTTGTCCTTATGGAAGATTTTTCTTCCTCGGTCGTGCATCTTCATGGTTTACCTTGGAACTGCTAACTGCATCAATAAAGCTGAATGGCAAAACGATGCAGTCATATGAGCTGATCCTGCATGATGTTAGGGTTGTGAGTTGATCTAGGCGAATCCTGGCAAGTCCGTAAATTGATGAAATCTGGCTGAGTTTCATTGAGATCTAATCATGTTCTTGGGAGTTTTGATAGAGGACAAGATTAACATATGCGATGTAGCCTAATCGTATACTTATCGAGTTTGTAGCAACTTGCGTTATCTACCTTTTCATTTATCTATTTATCACGTAAGAAGAAGTGGGCTATTGTTAGTTTTAGACTCTCTAAATAAACTACAACACCATCTTCACAAATCAAGCAAATTCGAGCAGCACCTATGTGTCCCCGTCTTTGAACTAACGACTATACACATTATTGAATGTCGAAAACCGTTTTGTTTGTAGTCTTCTCATGAAATGACAAAAGCAGAGAGACCAGCAGATGCACGGGACATAATCTTCTGTCAGCATGAAGTAACATGAGCAAGCAGCACGTTGGTGACATCCAACAGGAGATAACCATCAAAAAGCACACGGCAGTACGGGATTCATTAAGCAGATATAATCACCCTCCGGGCTGGGAAAAAAGAAAGGAAAGAGAAATTCACCAAGAAGGTCACCAACAATCTAATGAGAAGACTAGACTAAACTCTCTCTTGGAAGCCGTGGAGCCTGAATTGGTTACCTGATAAAACTGGACAACGCACAACGACGTCTGCTCTCCTGTTTCTGGTTAGATGTTGATTTCATCATCAAGCTGAATACAAAAGATGGGAGCAATCTTCAACAAATCTTTCCCTTTCTCCTTTTGGCACCTCTCTTTCGGCAAAGGACAAGAATAAGATAACAAGAGAGGTAAGAGAGTCGGGAAGCCTCTGGAGAGACATACTCTGAAGCTGACCGCATCCTAGGATGCTCAACATTTTAAGAGACGTCAAGTATTGTAGCCCCTCACCCTTCAGAGACTTCAAATTTCCGAAATTCCAGCTGTATAGAGACGTAATGGTGGGTGGTAATAGCGTGTTCTCTGGAAACGATGTCACCTCATCGCACTTGCCATGGATACACATGTAGCTAAGTGAAGGTAGACTTTGCAAACTCCCCTTCATTATGTTTGTAACCAGTTGCTGCAGTTCCAAACTTCAAGAGATTTCAAGCCAAGGGGTAAACATCCCTGTGGAAATGATCCAACTCCTGGACAATCACATAGATGCAAGTACTGAAGAGATGGAAGCAGGGTCCGCATGTTTTCAGGCAGCGAAACGAGGTGTTCACAATCAGATATTTTCAGTGAAGATAATTGGCCAAACTTGAAATAATCAAGAACTAAGAACACAAACCCCGTACATATTAGTTTATCTCATCTTCATTAACCGGCTGATAAGAAAGTCAAATGATTCCCATTAGGTGGGAGGATATTGTATATGCTATTCAATAGACTCTCATCTTTGCATGTCTGAAACCAATCTTGAATACATTCATTCTGAAGAGGAAATTTAGGAGACTTGTTAACTACTACAGTCCGAGTCACGGAGACTCACAAGTACAGTTTAAATTTATTGACGAGTTAACTTATGCTAAAAAAGAAAAAAGAAAGAACCAGTATGTCTCGCTGTATGACGACGGCGGCAAGACACTATTTGACTACCGGAATTTCCTCATGAAGGCCCTCAAAATACGGTACTTTTTAAGTCAATTTTGTGTTTGTATATCAAAGAAAATCTTAGTAATTTCAGTCACAGAAAAGCGAAAACCTGCACAGATCTTCCTGTGAAGAGCTACCTTCCAACCTCTGGAAATACTAGAACCATGGCCACTCACAAGCAGCTGATTCAACTCGAGTTATGGTGCTCTCGTGAATAGTGATGGGGACAAGACAGGACATCAATATCGTCTAAGCCATTTGGGAAAACTTTGAAGTTGGCTCAAATGGCAGTGCCAAAACCCATCATCACTCAAACGCAATTAAGTGTTAAGATAAAGTGAACGTAGTCGATATTTGCAAGAATCGCACATGCAGCAGAATCCCCAACTTCATAAGATAGGATATAAAGGAGAGGAAATCTGTTTTGCCTAAGGGGCAACATCTTACTTTCAGATCGAGATATAATACATCTCAATGTTTTGTAGAAAAATAAATAGAAGGTAGGATGCTGCGTTAATGATAGTCCAAACAAGAATTAAATGTCCAAGTGGCCCTCCTATAACAGGAGCACACTACAAATTCTCACTTCCAGCAAAGGAAATTCGAATCACAGCGCCAGTGGTTACATTCATGTGGCCCTAGAAAGCATTTAATGACCAAAGGTGAAATAAAGAGGACTCCAGAGTGCACATTCCACCACATTCTTCTCATAAGCAGAGCGTCCCCAGCTGAAGATGGTCACAAGCTATATGGGCGAATTTCTTAGAGACAAATGCAACAAAAGATTTGCTGTACCCATCAGTCTCCAATGAACTTCCTTTTCTTGGATGTGTTCATATACGGCCTGATGACCCATTCTATTTGAGCTTCAGTCTGATCCACTGTGCCCAATTTTACCTGCAACATCCAAGGAGGATATGAGAGAGAAAGATGGGAGCCAGGATACATTATGCAGGCCACCCAGAGAATATAAATTACATAAAAAACCAAAAACCGACACCTAAGTTTTCAAGAACCTAAAATTCACAGTTACTTTAAAAGCTTGAGAACAAACAATAAAGGTTCAGGTATCCTGACAAGAATTACACAAAAAGCACTAAATTTCCAAAAATTCTCCACAGAAGAAGGGGAATTACAGAAATCTGTGATCAACATCAGTGAGATGCATATATCTGTGCTTCATGGGCCATAGCCCTAGGAGAACATATTCTTCTAGTAGAAGATAATACAAGGGATAACAAATAGACCAACTCTCCATGCCTCACCCAACCTGACTCTGCCAAATTACCTGATATAGGCGTAATTCAAACCGAGGGCCTATTTCCTTGAGCTCGACACTTTTGGGACCGCCATGCTTCTCATAAAGATGATGCCTGCATGAATGAAATGGGCAAAAGTTAGGAAAGAAAATGCTATGGCACATGAAGCATGAGTCATATGACATTAACAAATAGACCAATCATAAAATGCTATCACATGTTAAAGGATGGTGAAGGAAAAACTGGAGCCTAGATGACCAGGGTCTCTCTCATGGAAAGAAATTGCTTCTGACTGAAAAGCCGCAATACATAAGAACCACACAATAACTTTGAATTTTGCAAATCATAACCTATTCAATGTTGAGAGGAGTTTGAACATTTGTAATCCCTGGCCCTTTAGGTTTTTATGGTTGCAGAAGTATGCATTAAACTTTTTTATATCGTTCAAACATGTTTCACATCAATGAATCTCGCAGTCCAGCAATGACACTTTAGTTCTTGTTGTTGAACATAGTCAACAATAGCCAATTATGGTAAAGTCATGCAGTTTCCTGAATAGTTCTTCTCTCAATTCACTTTGTTCTTGAGGTCTCCAAGAGATTAATGGCAAGGACAAATCTTTTGGTTAATATCTTGACTAAACTCCTTCGGGTAAAAACTCATAACCCTCGATTTTGCTGGCAGTAAAAATACAAAGAAGAAAAAGCAAAGATTTTCTTTACTTGGAATTAAAATTAAATGGATGCCCTATAACACACTCATTCTCCATAAGATAGTAGGAGGAAAGGATCTACATGGGAAAAGCATTGCACATATGCATTATGGCACCAATAAGATCATTAATATGGTTAAATATCAGGTCCATCATTTCTCACGGAATCATACTAGAAGATGTAGGTCTACGTTGAATTACTTATTTACAGATGAAGCCAACTTGAGAAGTATCGATTCTAACAAGCTTTAGCTGCAAGACAAAGACTTTCTCTGGAAGACTGCAGATGCAGAAACCTAGTCCTTATCAAAAGACATGAAAAAAATAACCGGTATATATCTGCAATCATCCATAATCTAGCACATTCACACAGATTTATGCCCGCATTAGGGTGTAGATGCGAAGGATGCTCCACTCAGAACCATTATATCAAAAATGCCTTTGAAGAAAGGAAAGACCCATCAAATAAAAGAGGGGATGACAGAGACATGACTTAAATTATCTAAGACATATTAACCATGTAAACAGAAAATATCCAGGGGGTAACACAGAACAAACCTGAAGGAAATGTAATCAGACTGATTAGCAAAAGTAACAATGCGTTTGGTATCGGGCTTAGGCACTGGAAATAGATGCTTTAAAACATTGGCCGTTCTTTGTCCCAACTGTATACAAATGGATATCAGTTCATGAAAACTTCCCATAAGCCAAACCAAGATTAATACACTTATTTGCACCAATTACAAAGGATAAATATCTAGCAACAACTACTTTATATCATCACAATTCAGGGAAACATGTATGGTTGGACTGAGAGGAAGATCCATTAACATATAAAAGAAATGAAAACCTTGATCAGATAAGATCAACTTATTCTATATACCTACGTTCGACCAGATGCCTTCATCTATACAATATTAATGACTAAATTTACTTCGCATTTTGACCAAAAAAAAAATTACTTTACATTACCAGAGAGAGCTACTACAACAGAACTCAATCTCATGATACCACATAAGTGCTTTAGAATATGTAGACATCCCAACAGCTCACAGTGAAACCCTTGTCACATCATATTGGCTTATCTCATACAAAAGTTTAGTTAGCGCATTCCTTTTTTCCAAAAATATTAATCAGTTCTCCACTCCCAAGTATACTCTGAATTGTCACAAATTTTGAAAAGAAAAGAAAGACACAAAAGTTCAATAATAAATCACCGAAAGTGCTCGGAGGGCATGTAAGCCACACAAAAGACATGTTATATTGCTCAGTATATGATATTAACTTCAGTGGCAATCCACCACTGGAATGTCAAGGGACAATTTATGATAAACAAAGCATAAATGACAGAAAAACAGAGATTTCACTGATTAAAGTTTACCTTGGTCGAGAAGTTGTTAAGAATCAAATGAGGATAGGCCTCAGGCATAGTGCCAATCGCCTTCTTGTCCTTAATATCATGCCTTGTAACCTAAATAAAAATTAAATTAGCGCACTTAGTTCTCAAGAAAATGCTCAAGGCAAAAATCAAGAGGAAAATAGATAATCTGATTTACTCACCACATTGAGTAATCCAAAATATGCAGTTGGACCAAAAGGTAGATGGCTTATTATCAAACCATCTGGCACACCACGATGTTCATGAACCAAGATCACATCAGTGAAGTCATGTGCTCGGCAAGTTTCAATAATTTCAGATATAACCTGCATTGAGGATCTAATTTAGCTAAGTTACCAACTTCTCTTAGGCATGTTAATGCATGAGTTAACAATCTCCAAACTCCAAATTTCACTCACGCCTATATTCTCTCCCCTGAAGATAATGAAACTAAACTTCAGACTCATTTGCATCACAAAAAGTTATATTTGTTTTACATCATATAATACCTCCAAAAGAACAAATAAGCACCCCAGCCCTCATTTTGCATCAGTAATTCCCAAACAAAACAGAACCATATGGAACGATATCACGGTTAGAGAAAGAACATTCCACCAACCTGACCACCACGATTCATACGCTGTGCATTAGGGAATACAATTGTCAGTTCCTGTAAGTAGCACCATACAAACAGCAATTAGGAGGGAAACGTCAGCTGCCACTACGTTATCAAAGTGGCCATCTCATGTACACCTCAAATCAATCAAATTGCCAATGGTTTCCTTGAAGACAAAACCCACCTTTATAAACTGTTTAAGAGGAGCACTAGGATTCCTCGATGTAGTGAGTAGTATTTTTGGATCTCTCTCCATGGCATGTGCATACTCATCATCAATGTGTGTTTTCGGGACTACATTTGAGCAACACAAAAGGCATATCAGAAACATTGTATTTCATGAACAAAAAAAATCAGCTTCATAAATTGAAAAGGAAAACCATCACATGCCGTCGACGTCAAACAAATAATTCAGACACCTCTTCTTCAAATTCAAAAACTATGGTGGAAAATTTCGTCTTTAAAGACCTCGTCTCAGAAAATGTGCAGTACCCAAACTCCAAAACAACTAAATTTTCACGGCTTATGACATCAGTATCGGATTCCGCATCCGTAAAGCATTCGTAACACTCGGATCAGAATCCTCCAGAACCAGTTCGCATCATTCAAAACTCATGTTTCCACATTCTCATGGGAGAAGCAGATAGTAGACGGCTCAGTACCAGCAGTGTTCTCATCCTCGAGGTCAATCTCTTGCCGGAGCGCGGCCTCCTCGTTCCTCAGCTCAGTCGGAATCGGCTTTCCCTCTGGAAACAACGAAACAAAAACACCGGAACAACCACCGAGATGAATCGATACAAATACACAAGATTACAGAGAAATTCGCAGAACAGATCATATTGGGTTCTGCATTCACCTTCGAGGGCTTGCTTGATCTTCCGCTTCTTCTCGTAGAGCAACCGCTCCTTGCCCTCCAAGTTCTTCCGGTACAGGTACTCCCTCCGCAACCTGATGTTCCTGCGCAGCATCTCTTCGCCTGTCGAATGCGACGCACGAAATCTACTCCGAGATTCGCCCGGATTTAGCGGAAGGTGTCGCGAGCAGTTAAAGTTAGGGTTTTTGCGAAGAAGAAGAAGAAGAGAGACGGGGTTTTAGCATGGCCACGGTTCGGAACCGGCCAGTTCCGGTTCGTGGCATGTATGAACCGAAACCGGCGGTTCCGGGCCGGTTCCAGTTCCGGCCCGGTTCGGAACCGGCCGGTAAAAATTAAAAAATTATAAATTATCAAATTATGAAATAATGAATTATTCAATATAAAATGTAATCAAAATGTACATTGTAATCAAATTTGGGAAAAAAAAGAGAAAAAGAGATGAGGCTTGAACTTCATGAATTATCATTAAGCGCCTTAAGAATCAAAATCCATGTAGTTCTTTTGCCTTCAGTCATCGCTACCCATTCCGGTACTGGTACCGGTAGTGGTGGTATCTCCGTCGTAAAAGAATTCGGATTCATTATTTCGATCTATCTCTTGTTGTCGATATTGAGCATTCGTCCAATCATCGACGCAAGCTTGAGCATCTACTGATTCCGGAACTAATCTTGGACGTTGTTCATCCAAAATATTATCTCCGGCATTGAATGCTTATTCGACCGCAACTGTCGAACATGGGGTTGCAAAAATTTGTTTTACAATAAGAGAAAGGTTTGGGTATTGGCTTGCGTGCCTCTTCCACCAATCCAAAATTTAAAAATATGTACTACCTTCGCATTCAGAAAACTCAAAGGAAACGGTTAGATACATCTCTAATTCAGAAATGTTTCTTATTACTACCTTTTGCTTTTTTTGTCTATGTAATAAAAGTTGGTACCCTCTACTAATTTTACCTGTACTTTCACTTTGTGTCTCGGTAGATTGAGAAGATCTAATATCACATCCCTTAGTACAAAATTCATTATATAATTCTATTACTACGTTTTTAACCTCCCTTAGTATGGTTGTAACATCTACCGTATTATAATGTAAACATTGATAATACATATGCAAATAATCACCTAAACCATCTAATTTGCAACGTGGATAAAAAATACAATCAACTAAATAAATAATGGGAATTTCGCTATAATAATGTAGCCACTTCATTCTCATTGTTATTATAGTATTTTGTAATTCAACATCATTTTCATATTCCTCAAAAACTCCGACAATATTAATACACTCTACAAAAAATAAATGCGTAGTAGGATAATAAAGTATAAGTTGCATAATTAAAAACCTTTAAAATATCTAAATTTTTTTGCAAATATCTCACTCTTGTGGATATAAATTAATATGAGGTATATTATTAGAAATGAATGCACATAACAAATCTTTATATGCAAAAGATTCATTAAGCAAGTGGAAAGTAGAATTCCAACGAGTTGGAACATCTCTTGGAAATCTTCTTGGCCTTTTTTCCATTTGTTTTAGAAAATCTACTCCATTCTTTCATTTTTTGGGATGTTCCATAAAAATTGAATCGCTGTTTTTATTGATTCAAGAAAAATATCAAGAGTTTTCAAACCATCTTGTACACATAAATTTAAAACATGACAAGCACGTCTAACGTGAAAAAATTTTCCGCCAAAAGTGAGTCTACAAATATTTTCTAAATCGGCAATTGAAGCGGTATTCGCCACAGCATTATCAAAACTAATTGCAAAAATTTTGTTAAGCAAACAATATTTTTCTAAAATTTGCCTAATTATTCTATAAATATTATTTGCCGTATGCTTACCATCGAAAACTCTAAATGCGAAGACTCTTTTTTGAATATTCCAATTGTCATCTATCCAATGACATGTTATGCCCATGTAAGAATGAATTTGCCAATGATCACTCCAAATATCACTACCTATATGCACACATCCATTAAATTGCATAAAAAAGTTTTGTAAATCTTTTTTTTCCATTTTTGTAAAGATCTTTAATTAGTCGTTTAAGTGTAATTCTAGGAACACGTTTTGCTTGTGGAGCACAAGCTTTTTGTACAAATTGATTAAAACCAAATCTTTATCTAAAATTAAATGATAAATACTCAACGGAAACAAATTTACCTAATTCTTCCTTATAAGTTTTTTCATTAAAACGAAATAAATGATAAGTGTTACGATTGACGTACCTGAAAATTTGTTGTTGCTTGGTATCAATTCCCGCTTCAATTGGATATTTGCTCCTAAGATGTCGTTTGAATATTCTATATCTACCTGTATATTTATATATTGCCCCACAATGTTTACAAATTATATCATACATTTTTTGACCAATATCAAACATTTCCGTTTTCATGAAGTGATCTCAAATGTATGTAAGTTCCCGCTCCGCCTCCTTTGTTGTTTACATTTCGGCATGAAGACTTTCTTGTGTTGGGACGCGCTCCACATCGGGAAAAATGTTGATATCATTATCTTGAAAATCTGCATCATCACGAGGATCAAAAGAATGTTTGAATTCCGTCATTCTATTCTTACCTTTGCCAGTTGCCGCTTGACTTCCACTTGCCATTTTTCGAGTGGATTGAGAGAATTGAGCAAATTGATTGGGAGAATTAAGAGAAAATTGCGCGGATTGAAAAAATTGAGAGAATTCGGATTGAGAAAATTGAGAGAATTTAAGAGAATTTGAGAGAATTGAGAGTATAGAAAGAATTTAAGAGAATTTGAGAGAATTGAGAAAATTTGAGAAAATTTATAAGAAAAAAATGAGAAGGAAATTTAGGAAAAATTAATAATAAATGGCAATGGCTACTTTAAAATATATATATTAGCCGTTGCCAAGGCCAAGTGGCCAACGGCCACCTGCCCTGGGCCTGCAGGCCCTGCTGCAGTTTTTTTTTGGAATCGGAACCGGGCCAGCAGGCCATTGGCCGGTTCCGGTTCAGAATCGCGGACCCGGTCAACGAGCCGGTCCCTGGTTTGACCCGGGCCGAAATCGGCCCGTGGCCATGTCTAGTTTTAGGTTGCTTTGTTGCCGCTCGCGCTTGGAGCCGTTGACGACATACGGTTGACCATTCGTCCTAATAGACACCGCATTGCATGTCATCTTGAACCCTACTAAAAAGCACGTAATAGAAGTTCGCGTGCGCGATGGTTAATTCTATTCAATAGAATTTTTTTATGATTTCAATACATTGGTTCTAAATAATACGAGAGGGCCATGTCTTTATTAAGTGTTTTAACAAAATCCGTAAACTATGGTGAAATTATACAAAATTCCCATGAATTTTGCGGGTAATTCGCTCCCGAAATTGTAACTGTAGCGTGTTACGTATTATCCCTAAAACATCTTGAATTTGCTCCCAAAATCACACGGTCGTTACCTCAGCATAAGCGGTTCCATGTTCCACCTGAAACTTAAATCTACACGTTGAAAGAGGTCTCTCATTTTTTGGAACCTGAAAACTACCATCCATATCATGGAACCTAAAGCCTATCCTGTCACAGGTTCTAGGCTCGGTTTCTAGGTCTACTCAGATTCCACGTGTATTATTAATTGAACAATTACAGTGAATCATCACCTTTAATGATCACAACTTGCTGCTACAATTCACTGACCACAACTTATGTTTGGACACACAAATAATATGAAATATTAACAGAGTAAAAGTTTCAGTTATAAAATGGAAGTTCAGATTAATGGTTCTAAATTATACCATCATTTTTAGACGCCATGGAATACCGCAGGATCGCGCTTAGAATCATTTAACTTGTTATTAGTTTTTTAAACATTTCTCACTTATAATGCTTGGTGACGTCAAATGATAAATATTTTTATAACATCAAATTTACTAGATAATGTTTGTCTTGTCTAAATGCTGGTTGTATTATTTTGCTTGTTCTATTGATCATGAAACTCCTTACTTGTAGATTACATAGTTAAAATAAATATCGATCTTGTTAAAGATAATTGAATGTAATGTAACTTAAGAATTTTTTTTTTTGGTCGAAGTAATGTAACTTAAGAATAGGGACTCGGATTTTCTATTTTTCATAAATCAAGTTCGAGAGATTTATATAAATGGTTGACTGAAGTGACATATGAGTCTAGCTTGTCCTCGATGCGAGCCCCACGTCATATACTGAAGCCGTCAAGCCGAATTCATCCAAATTGTTGATGCACAACTTAGTCTTTTAAGGATATGCTTAAAACTCTCACCTCTAATTGAATATGCAACAATGAACACAGGGTAGGATGTCCGGACTTTTCATGCGGATTAGCCCTCCGATCCTAAAGTCCAAGATTGAAGGAGGAGGAAAATATAAGGATTCTGATTAGAGTCGTGAGTTCCAGACCCGTTTTCCAGCTTCTGAAGGGTTATTCATCGGTCTTTTTACTCCGCTCATTGGGTTAGTATCGGAGGCAATAACTGAGCTATGACAAGTGTCGGTTGGTCACGGTAAATGGCGATTCATCACGACACGTGCGATGAACCTTAATATGTAACGGTCAAACCATCCACAAGGCCAATGGGTAGTTGATCTTGCAAGTTGCGGTGTCGTCGCTATTTTCTCGATCCAGATAACTTTCCCGTCAGGTTATCCCATCTTGACTTAGCAATCAGATCGTGTCCTTTTTTAGTCGTTCCCATTGGTTTAGAATACTTTCAGTCCCATAGGGTCAATCTGGGCATGTGCCTAATGCCTAGTGGCTTGCCAAACCCATCATTACCGCAAATCTTCATGAAATCACTCAATCGCGTTTGCCTCCGAAGCCGGTGTTGCATGAAAACCATTCTGGTTCTGTCCAGAACTGGTTTTTTATTCCCAGAATCAGTTTTGGATCAGAAACCCGTTTGGTAACGCAATTTCATTTTTCTATTTCTGGTACAAGTTTGCTTTCAAAACTGATTCTGAAACCAGAAACGAAAACAAAAAAAAAGTTGGTTTTTCATTTCTGGAACAAAAGTGAGAACCATTTCTGAGGAATTCATTTTCTTCAACACACATATTCATATGGAAGTCACGATCTTTGAGGTGAGAAAAAAAAGCAAAAAATCAAAAATTTCAAAACTTAACAGAATGGTTTAGAATATGTGGCTACCAACTTTCAGTGAAATTTAAATTTTTTTAGGTAACGAAAAAAATAAATAAAAATAAATAAAAATAAAAAATAAAAAATTTCACAAAATGGCTTAGAAAACCTATGGCCACCCACTTTGAGCAAAATTTAATTTTTTTAGTTGCCAAAAAAAAATAAAAAATTCTAAAATTTAAAAACTTCACAGAATATCTTAGAATACCTGTGGCCACATAATTTGAGCGAAATTTTATTTTTTTAGGTGCAAAAAAAAAAAATCAAAAAATCAAAAATTTCAAAACTTCACAGAATGGCTTAAAATACTTGTGGCCATCCACTTTGAGTGAAATTTAAATTTTTTTAGGTGCCGAAAAAAATAAAAAAATAAAAAATTTCAAAACTTCACAGAATAGCTTAAAATACCTGTGGCCACCCACTTTGAGTGAAATTTAAATTTTTTTATATGCCAAAAAAAATAAAAATAAGCAAAAAAGTAAAAATTTCAAAACTTTACAGAATGGCTTAAAATACCTGTGGTCACCCTCTTTGAGCGAAATTTTATTTTTTTAGGTGCCGAAAAAAAGAAAAAAAGAAAAAATTTCAAAACTTCACAAAATAGCTTAGAATACCTGTGGCCATCCACTTTAAGCGAAATTTAAATTTTTTTAGGTACTGAAAAAAATAAAAAAATAAAAAATAAAAAACTTCACATAATTGCTTAGAATACCTTGTGCCACCACTTTGAGTGAAATTTAATTTTTTAGGTGTCGAAAAAAAAATAAAAATAAGTAAAAAGAAAAATTTTCAAAACTTCACAGAGTGGCTTAGAATACATGTGGCCATCCACTTTGAGTGAAATTTAATTTTCTTTAGGAACCAAAAAAAATAAAAATAAAATAAAAAATACCATTTGGCCATCTAAAAAAAATTAAATTTTACTCAAAGTGGGTGGCTAGAGATATTGTAAGTCATTCTGTGAAGTTTTGAAATTTTTGATTTTTTATGTTTTTTTTCACCTAAAAAAATTTAAATTTCACTCAAAGTGGATGGCCGCATGTATTCTAAGTCATTCTGTGAAGTTTTGAAATTTTTTATTTTTTGCTTTTTTTTCACCTCCAAAAATTAAAATTTCACTCAAAGTGGGTGGCCACAGGTATTCTAAGTCATTCTGTAAAGTTTTGAAATTTTTGAGCTTTTGAATTTTTTGGGCACCTTAAAAATTTAAATTTCACTCAAAGTGGGTGGCACATGTATTCTAAACTATTCTGTGAAGTTTTGAAATTTTTGATTTTTTGATTTTTTTTGGGCACCTAAAAAAATTTAAATTTCACTAAAAGTGGGTGGCCACAGTATTCTAAGCAATTCCGTGAAGTTTTGAAATTTTTGATTTCTTGATTTTTTTTGAAAAAATTCAACAAATTTCCTATTTTCCCGAAATCTAAATTTTTTTTATTTTCTCGACATTTTGATGATTTTTTCTGGAATTTTTCAATTTTTTGGGATTTTCTGAATTTTTTTAAAGATTTTTATGAATTTTTCGGATTTTTTATTATTTTTATTCCATTTCTAAAAAAATGGATTTTTGTTCCTGGAAATAGAATTTTCTGTTGTTTATCAAACGGGTTTTTATTTCAGGAAATAGAAATTTTGTGCTGTTATCAAACGGGTTTCTGTTCTAGAAATAGAAATTTTTTGTCATTATCAAACGGGTTTTTTTTCTTAGAAACTCATCTAGGAACCAGAAATAGAAAAATCTATTTCTGGTTCAGGAACTCGTTCCGGAACAGAATGGTTATCATTCGCTACCTAAAGGTCCTGGTAAAGATTTTCTCTTCTCTAAAGGGAAAACCATGACACTCCATCTCAAAAACCAATAGAAATCGAAAATGGCGAGCTGCCGATGCATTCGATCATACTCGAGGCGCTTTAAAATTACAAACACTCTCACTCTTTTATGGAACCCATAGTAAGCTTTATTGTCATTACATACGTACTTCTCTCCTTGTCAAAATTTACAATACCCAATATTATTTTGAAAAAAATAATAATCTTTAGGTTGTGTACTGTATATTTACACAGCGAGGAGTTTTCATGATTCTACCACTAAAGTAGCCTACCAGCTGAAACCAATCACAACCAGGCGAAGCCAACAAACAATTTTCTCCTCAAAAAGGAGCTAATCGGTCATAAAAATACACTCGAAATTGCGTCACGCTCAGAAGTAGCTAGACTGGATTTGCAAGAGTTCGAGCTGTGCCAGAATTCTCGCAACGGTTGATTTCAATCTGGAGTTCGCGCTCTGGGCCAGATCGATGAGCACCATCTGAGCAGATGCTCCATACTTCAGTCTGTGCTCATCAATTCTGAAGATATTCTCTAGCATTGTTAATGCTTTCTCCTGAGCCTTCGTATTTCCTGATTCCAGAACTTTTATCAGGGCCGGGACAACCGACATTTTAGCCAAGTAATTGCTTCCGCTCTCGAAATTCTCGCCTTGGATGAGAGTTGCGAGCGCGTCCAGAACGGCTTCATCAGCTTCTCTCTCCTTGCCGTCCAGCGCATGAATCATTGGAGCGACGGCACCTGCTTTGACGATGCAAAATGTGCATTTGACTCCGCAGAAGCTATCGTGAACTTCACAAAGTGCATCGGAGGAGGGGGACACACATAACCACCTCGATCTTTTAAATTTTGCAAGGGAGAATGAGCTTTGTGATAATTGAGCCAGCGCGGTCACAGCTCTGGCTCTTGCAAGTTGTGAACCACTGGATAGCAACTTCACAAGGGAAAGAATAGCCCCATGTTCTGCAGAAAAATGTTGCAGTTTCTTGTCAGATGGAATAGTAAATCGAATCAGTATGCCTGCAATGCTCTCTTCCAACCAGAGCTCGGTCTGATCTGTGGATGTTGAAGTCGCAGAACTACAACTCTTTGTTGACAACAAAATGGGCAGCAAATTTGCCCTCTTCATCGTATCCGTCGCTTTCTTATCAGCAGTAGGGAGATTGCTCAGTATGCCAACTGCTGCAGCTTTTTCAATCGTACTTACGGAGGTTGCTGTAATGCTGACCAGAGTGAATAAGTGGGATTCTCCTAGCTGCTCTCCCAACTCTTCTGGTGAATCTTTAGAAAGAGCGTAAAGTAATTTCAACGCATCGGTTCTTATTTTACTGTTACTTTCAGTAAGAAAGGGAAGGAGAAGTTGAAATGCACCCTTCTCCCTCATTTTCCTTTTAACTTTGGATGCACTTGGATGGGCTGCAATGGAGTTAAGAGCTTGTAAGAGGTGACACTGGATTGTTGGACTCGACAGATTCAAAAGTGAGAGCATCTGTTGAGCCACTTCTGGATTGACTAAAACTGATTCTGATTGAGCAATTTGTGCAAGAATAGCTGACGCAGGCTCCCGGAGAGTCATCAGAACCGATGTAACAGAGAAAAGTAGCTGAAGTAGATAGCCCACAATACCAGAGCCGACTAAACGCTGGATATTCTCTGCCAAGCTGGATAGGTCATGCAGTGCACTCAATGCAGACAGCTTAGCTTCAAGCTTCCCCGTACTGAACATTTTGACGAGGGTATTTATTGCCCCATCTTCCCCAAGAGAAGCTTTACTTTGATCGGTCAGCTCCATCCGCGAAAGTGCAGAAGCCATAAGAATTTTGCTCATGTCAGAACCTGCAAAGACATTTTGTCAATAGATGACATCAGATAAGGCTCTGACATCTTGCGAGATCTTTGACAGAGTTTGATGGTTGTCTGCCTTAAAAAAAACATATGGAAGCTCAACCATTTATTGACGCGCAACACAAACTAATCATTGTATGTATCTTGCGATCACTCTCTTCGTATTCCAAAAGCACTGATTTACTCTTTGACGAGGCATATTCTAGAAACTCTGATATCAGCACCAAGGATCGAAAAGATAAATGCGTTTCAGATATCAAATGCCTTCATCATCGATTTTAACTGCGTATATCTACCCTCAGCAATCCAATTGCACATTAATTAAGTGAAGGGAAATCAGGGCCAGCTAGGCACTATTAGGCGTAGCCACTAAACGGAGTTAATAACAGGCAATTATACACTAATTCATAGAACTCACCGTTTGATCCACACAATGGTACATGCACAGTGACTCGTGAAACCAACACATGATATACCGCGAAAGTTAAAGTCAGGCTTGGCTGCTACTGCAATCATTGGAGATTTTGCAACCACTCAAAATATGTAGAAAGGAAACTTGATGGAGACAATACCTTCTTTCAGGTACTGCACGAGTGGCTTGAAATATCCAGCTTCAGCCATATGAAGTGCATTCTGTGTATTGCTGGACAGAGCATTTAACAATTTGTGCGCATCATTTGAGGCAATCGAATCTTCGCAGTTAAGCATAGCCACCAACATAACAATACAGCCTTGTATTCTGCCAATTCGCCTCCTGACTGTGTTAAGATCTGAGAGACTAAGCAACAATCCCACCGCTTCCCGTTTCTCTTCCACATCCCGTGCCAAAGACTTTACTAGCACCGATAAAGAATCAACATCTGCCATTTTCTCCTGCAAATCATGGTTACGTTATCAACTATAGAAGAAAGAATCTCAAAGACTACACGAAGGTTCTATTCGCGGAGCTAAATTGTAATCGGCACGTGCGAGAGTACCTTGTTTTTGGCATCCTGTGAAGCAAGGGTTCTCAATATACGTATGACGGTCAGCCGGCTATTCTGCTTACCCTCACTCAGTCGGTTAACTAGGATAGGAACAATTGCCTGATCACTAATCCATTCTTCGTTCACCACCTTACCTATCACCATATCTTGCAACCCGAGAAGGGCGAATTTGAGCTGGTCATCATCGCCATACTTCAGTTGCAACGCCACGTCGTTGATGTCGAGATTAATTCTCTCCTCTTCTATGATATCCTCCTCCTCCTCCTCGTCCTCCTCCTCCACCTCCACCTCCACCTCCATCTCCGATTCACTATCAAATCCCAACTCGCTGCTGCCGCTCGAACAGGTAATTTGGCCGGCGGCGAAATTGGTGTTCATCAACTCCCTGTGCAAAGCACCGATTTTCTGTTTGATTTCCATCGAGATGTCGCGCCTGGCGAAGAGCACGAGCCCCAAGGATCGACCGAGATCATGAGTCAAGCCCTCAATCTGTTTCACAGGCTCTCTCGAGTTGGGGCTCCTGATCAAAGCCTTGGCCCGCCCGAACTCCTTGTCGAGCGACTCGACCGCACTTCGCATGGGAGACGAGCCTTTCGCCGCAGCATTACCGCTCAGATCATCGAGAATAGGCACGAACTTCTCCGCCAGAGCTCCGAACTCCACTAGAACCTCGCTCTCGGCTCCAGAGCCCTTAACCATCGAAGCAACATCCCGAATAGATGCCCGAAGCTTCGATACGAGCTCCCCGAAGCTCCTATCTCTCTCGTCCATGTATCTCTAGACAGCAAGAGCGAGAGAGAGAGAGAGAATAACGAGGGGATTCAGAGAGCACGCTCGCCTGCTGGTGAAGCTGAAAGACAAAGCAAATATATATATAAATATATAAATAAGGAGGAGGAATTCAACGGAATTCACGAGGAATTGAGCAAGAGAAGATTCAAAGGACCGAGCAATCGCAGGGAAGCAAACGGTGTCATCTCCCTCACGATCGCTCCGTCCTAGACGGGTGCGAGTAAACCCGAAGACGACCGAGACAAGACCGATTCATAGGCTACCAACTGTTATCGTACCCACTCGCCTGTCGTGTACCCACAGCCGGTACGACCGGTCCCGTCTTCACACGACCGAGACGACGCGTTCGTTCGGGAGGGGCCGCCTCATCAGCGACGGGGATGGCTGCGAAGGAGGCGGGAGAGGATTTTTTGGAGGCTTGCGGTTGTAGCTTTGCGGGGGAGTCGGATCTCCGGAGTCAGCGTCGGTCGTCGTCGCCTCCTCCTCTGACTCGCCAATAAAGAAACCGATTCGTGCTGCGTCGGCGTCGGCGTCGTCGTCGTCGGCCATTGTTAACCTCTCTGCCCTTCCACTCGAAGGTCGCCATCGAAACTCTCTTTGTCTGGCTTTTGCTTTGCATCTTGGCCATGCGTGACGTGGCATTTCCCCTCTCCTTTTTTTTTTTGGCTGTTTGCTTTTTTGCTTTCGAGTTTTCTTCTTTTCTTTTTAAATTTTTTTTTAACCAAGTTGGCTTTATTTAATATTTGTATAATATGATTCTTAGTATAACGGTAATCACCCAGGGGGTCGACCAAGCAAAGTTTTTTAGTCTTTCTTTAATTTTCCGAGTAATGACGAACGAACGACTCGACAAATTTGTTGACTAATTCGTGGTTTTATAATTTTTTTTGGGGGGCGGGGGTTGAAAAAGTCAATTACCTGCGAAGCAGGGTTTTTTTCATTGATTAAACATGCGGACCGGGCACATAATTGGTGACCATATTATATTTAAAGGATGACTTCTTTTTAAATAAATAATGGAAATGTTATAATATTTAAATATCGAACAACACCTTTTTGTAACAGCTTAAATTTTTAGAACGGTTGTGTTTACAAAATCTCACGTGATGTCATAGCAAGTCCCGAGTTCTAAAAATACCAGACTAAGCGCGATGGGGAGCGTGGCAGTAATCTTACAAAAAAATCGTTAGGAAATTACCTTTATATTATATGCCGATTAAGTAATTGTGTTCTTGGGGATGTGTATTTGGATTTTACCTACAAGAAACGCAAATTGGGAGAGAAGGCGGGACCAGGACGACATGTGGTCGGCCGCATGGTGATGTGGAGGGGCCGGCCTACGCGATATTTTCTTCGCAAGTTGGAGTTTACAAAGAAAAGATGACTTAGCGGTACCGGAGCCAAGTTTATTGAAAAGGAAAGATAAGGGTACACAAGCAATAGATACTATTCGGATCTCGTCATGTTACTAAATAAATTGTTCGACTATAAGTGACCATTTATCGAATGAGTCATATTTAAACTCCAATAATAATAATAATAATAATAATAATAATAATAATAATACGACAAATCACTTGATAAATCAATTTTAATAATCCTTATCACTTTTATGAATTGGCAGTGCATCCGTTTTGTGATCTTATTTTTCTTTCTTCTATGTGTTTATATATTGGCATTAACTTATGTTAACCATTTTAAGTCACTTTTTTCGTTCGACCCACCCATGATAAGCTATCGGTTTCTATTCATACTAAAGGAGTCACGAAGAACATTTTCTTTCCGACATTACTCAAGTCGAGTAAAACCATAATGGAAGGCGGGGGAGATCCCATTTCCCGAGCCGCTAAATCCCAAATCGCCCTTCGAAATGCGCGATTCGAGCACGGGACCCGCTGCATTCGAATCGGGTGCCTAACCATCGTTGTCGAATCCATGCGGACGACAAAGGTGGGAAGTCAAACGAGAGAAAGATGCCCAAGTAGAAATGGTCGGTCTGTGCTATCCATGCCTTGCGACAAAATGGAGGCGAGGGAGAGATCAAATTCCTTTTTGTGGACGAAGACAAAAGGTGGTAAGTAAAAGGAGAGTGGAGAAAATCGTAGGAAGGATCGCAAGTTTTAGTCAGTAAACACATGCGCCGCGCGGACATTTTGACGAATCATTCAATAATGATGATCTTCTTTTGCTTTTGATGCTTTCTTAAGTAGTCATGCCAAAAAGCAGCAGGAGTCCCATCTCACCAATCTCTTTTTTGGATTCTGAATATTGTACTTTGCCCAATTTGGTTCGAACCTATGAGCATCGTCGTCCGGTGAAGAATGTCAAAAAGTATCCCCCTTTACACATACTTCACCCAAGAGAAAAGTATATCCCAATATTTAAAATCGAATTAGTTGCCTAACCATTGAACCGAATCCCATGCGGTCGAACGTTGCATTCTTCGCAATATATTGTTGACGAAGACAAAGGGGGGTAGTAAAAGGAGAGTGGACAGAATGGAATGGCAGGCAGGATCGCAGGTTCAGTCGGTAAACACATGCGCGGGACATTTTGACGAATCCATAGTGATGCACTTGTTTTGCCTTTAATGCTTTCTGAGGAGTCCATGCGACAAAGCAGCAGTAACCTTCGACCATCGTCGTTCGGTGAAGAAGAACGTTAAAAGTGTCCCCCTTTTGTACATACTTCATCAAGAAAACAACCTTAATATTGAGAATGTCACAGATTACACATACGATAATGAGGAGGGCATTCGTTGAGTAATCAAGAAAGGACGTATTATAAGATGCCGAGTGCATGTAACATCCGACGAGTGGTCGAGGAAGCACTTGTCAATACAACCCCTCGGAGTCGCCAAAAAACAAAGAAAGAGGGTTCCTTTGAATTTTAATAGCCGAGGTTACACGTTTTCTCTTCGATTTATTGCCGCCTTATCTGACCATGTCGATTGTCGACCAACAACAATCGCGTCGTTTCTACCGTCTCTTTTATCGGTTTCATAATATAAATGCTCTCGCCACTTTCCACCAAGATGTCATATGTTCCTCCATTTTCTCGTCGCTTTGCCCGGAGAAGATGGTTGTTAATTTTGTCGATGCTCTCGTCTTTTGTATCACAAAGGCTAACAGAGAAGATTGGGAATTTGGATTTATGACGATTTATGAATACACAATAAGTTGTAGATTTTCTCCAAATTGGGGAATGAAAGTATTCGAGTTTCGAAAAATTACATGTAATACTACCTATTGATCTGAACCATGAGCAGTAATCAAAGCTAAAGATGAAGCACCACCACAACCGCTACACATCTTTGTCAAGAATCAATGCTTGCCTTGACAATGTCTTAAGCAGAAGAAAAGACAGTTGAATAATGCCATGTCTGCTCTTGACGAGCCGTCGATACCGTTTGGTCTGCCCGCCCATCGACAAACTAAATGGCTGCGGATCGTTTCTCGAGCTTCTCCACACGATGGGAAGAAGGAGGCTCGAAGCGAAGGAAGTTTAGGCTCATTATATGCGCCTCGCTTTTCCGTGAACATTAAGGAAAGTTTGCGGTTAATTGCTCATCCGGATTGACCGTTTGAATCAAGATTATGTCGAGACCAATTGAATGAGTCTAATCGACAAGTTGTGGAACAATTTAACTGCCCTCCATCTTATCTTCACTAATCTCAAGCTGACCTTGCCATTGACTCTCAAAGTTTGCTAAGGGAAGTGGTTCTCTCTTTCTCCTTTCCTACCAGGAAAGGCAGCGGATGGCTAAAATCTCTTCTTGTTTCTTGTCTTGGGCCAAAGTGGATGAATTAACTTGTGGGACACGGAAGCTTCGTTTAGCTGCGGAATTTGGACTCCTAGGATGCAACTTGCAATTTTTGCATGTGTATGAGGCACAAAAGTTGCAGTTGCAGGACAATTAAGTATTTTGCAGGGGAAGAATATTAGAAGTGCCAAAACTTGTGTACGGCGCTCACTTTAGTACAAAAAATTTTCGCCGGAATACTTAAGTGCCAAATCGGAGAAAAAACGATCACTTAAGTGTCAAAGGCGAAAAATTCCGGCCAAATTAATACGTGACTTTTATAATTAAAATTTTAATCTGAGTTGGGTTTTTTTTTTTAAATCAGTTTATGTGGCATTTTCATGTGTATATTTCGATTTTTTAAATATTTTTCAGATTTTTTTTTCTTTTTTTCTTTTCTTTTCTTTTTTTCTTTTCTTTCTTCTTCTTCTACCTTTGGCCGGTGACCGGACACCGGTCATAGCCGACCGCCTAGCCTCGCCTGGACGAGGCCACCGTCGCAGGCCATAGGTGAGGTCCGGCCCACCCTAGCCTAGGCGAGGGCGGGCGAGCCCCGGCGAGGGCTGCCCTCGCTAGATCCGGCGAGGCACGCCCTCGCCTAGGCTACGGCTACCTTGCCCAAGGGAAGGCGATGACCGGCGAGGTCGCCGTGGCCTGGGTGAGGGCTAGTCTCGCCGGATCTGGAGAGGGGAGCCCTCGTTGGGGCTCACCCTTGCCCAGGCGAGGGTCGGCCTCCGGCCCTCGCCTGTGGCTTCGAGAGTGGCCTTGCCTAGGGCGAGGGTCACCTCGCCTAGATCTGGTGAGGCCAACCTTGCCCAGACTAGGTCTATCGAGGCGAAGCCGACCCTCGCCTGGGCGAGGCAAGGGCTCCTCTCGCTAGATCCGGTGAGGCTGGCCCTCGCCCAGGCCACGATGGCCTCGCCGGATCTGGCAAGGGGAGCCCTTGCTGAGGGTCGGCCAAGCCTCGCCTGTGGCGGGCAATGGCGGCCTCATTCGAGTGAGGCTAGGCGCCCGGCCATGGCCGGTTGTCGGTGTCCAATCACCGACCAAAGGTAAAAGAAGAAGAAAGAAAAGAAAAAATCAAAAAAAATATTTTAAAAATCGAAGTGTACATGCTAAACTACATTGTTTTGAAGTATACATGTTGACTAAACCTCCGACGAGCCACATCGGCTTCAGAAATTAATAAAAAAAAGCCACGTCGGATTTCCGGCGAAATTGACTAGAGTTAGCACTTAAGTTATCTTTTTTCAAAAAGTTTGGCACTTAAGTGATCTAGTGAAAACTTTTGGCACTAAAGTGAGCGCTGTACACAAGTTTTGGCACTTCTAGTATTCTTCCCTCGTATTTTGCATATGAAGTTGTCCAAACAAATTCTCATAAATGAAAATCGGTTTTTGGATCCGTACTTTATTGTTAAGATTATGCGCACAAAAACAACAAAATAGAGAGTAAATGCGAGAAAGAAAAATCGAGACACAAGGTTTTATCAAGATTCACCCTTAAATTAGGGTTACATTCAGGAGAGCATTCCGCTATATTTAGCACATCCCACCTCCCTATTATGACTCTCAACTACAATGAAAAGATATTATATACACACTTAGTAACTATTCATGGACCCAAACCCAAATTACTAATAAAATATGGGCCCAAACTATAAACGCTCTCTGGCCGTCGTAGGGGCAATGCCCCCTTCAACCCCACCTGAGCGGCTCTCGACCCCATTCTCTCTTTATTTCTTTTTAATTAAGTAATTCAACTTTATTGATATTATATTATATGGTACTTTTTTTTTTAGTCTTTCTTTAATTTTTTAGGGTAACGACGAACGGCTCAACAAATTGTTGACTATTTCATTGGTTTTATGGTTGAAGAAAATCAATTACTTGCTAAGCACAGTTTAATATGTGCTGGTTTAATTAAATGTTTCTGTGGGATGTCTTTTTTCTTTTTCTTTTGGATTTTACCTAAAAGAAACGCAAATCGGAGTCCACAAGAAAAGACGACTCGGAAGTACTAGAGGTGAGTTTATTGAGAAGGAAATATAAGGGCACAAAATCAATAGGTGTTATTCGAATCCGATCGAGTTACTAAGCAATCGCCCGACTCTAAGCGACCATTTAAATAAATGAGACATGCGCAAACGTTAATGGTAACCCGACACATCACTTGATATGAATCAATTTTGCAAATCGGTATTAGCAAGCCTTAACGCTTTTCTAAATAGACAGTGCTCTCCGTTTTGTGCTCTTTCTTATTTTCTTTCATCCAGTGTGTTGGGATTCGTCATATTCATATAGACATTAACTCATGTGAACCATGTTAAATCACTTTTTCTCGTCCGATTAATGATAAGCCGTCGGCCTTTGTTCGTACCGAAGGACCCACGGAGAACATTTTCTCTCAACGTTACTTAAGCCGCATAAGACCACAACGGAAGGCGGGATATCGCGTTTCCCGGATCGTAAAAATCCCAAACTCCGTCGAAATGCGTGATTCGAGCACGGGATCTGCCGCATTCGAATCAGGTGCCTAACCATTGAATCGTATCCATGCGGTTGAACGTTACATTCTTCGCAATATTTTGTTGACGAAGACAAAAGTTGGTAGTAAAAGGAGAGCGGACAGAATGGCAGGAAGGATCGCAAGTTTTAGTCAATAAACACATGCGCGGACAATTTGACGAATCAATAATGCTCTTCTTTTGCCTTTAATGCTTTCTGACTAGCCATGCGAAAAAGCAGCAGTAGTCCCCATCTCAACTTTTTTTTCGCTTTGGGATTTGGTATTGCGCTTGCCCATCTCCTTCGAAATCTTCGACCATCATCGTTTGGTAAAGAATGTTAAAGGTAATCCCTTTATACATACTTAATCCAAAAGCAAAGTATATCTAAAATTTAAAATCGCGAATTACTCATATAATAAGAAGGGCGGCGTCCTATGAGTAATCGGAAAAAAAGGGTATATCACGTTGCGCCGACTGCATTAATTTTTCTTGTGTAATGTGTAACCGATCGATGTTTTGAAAGTCGAAAATACGCGTATTCGATATGAATAAACGACCGACGAAGTAACCGGGGAAGCACTTGTTGATATAAAATAAGCCCCCTGGCGAGGACCTGGACTTAAGCAGCTTCGACAACCACCAGCAATTCATCGACTCCGTTCTCTTTCTATTTACTCCATTCCCTTTCTTGGTATTTAAGTTGCTGTTTATATTTATCTTTTGACAATGTTGCACAATACACAGAATAGAGAAAGAGGCACTTCCACCTTTCAGTAGTTGACGTTACAAGTTTCTCTCTCTATTCACTTTATTGTTGCCTTGTCTTACCATCCTAATCAAGGGTAATACCGTTGTTTCTACGGTCTTTCTGATCGGTTTCATAACATAAATGTCATCATCGCTTCCCAACAAGATATCATCTTCTTCTCCGTATTCTTTTATCGGTTTGCTAGGAGAGGACGGTTGTCCATCTCTATCAATGCTATGATCTTTTGAATGACAAAAGGCTACATAGGAGATTAGAGACTTCCTATTGAAGGCAATTTAGGGCATGTTTGGCAACTTGCCAAATAGTGATTGATTCTGTTCTTTTGTTCCCAGAATTAATTTAGGAACAGAAATCCGTTTGTTAAATTTTTTGTGCCCGGGCACAATTTTACAAAAAATTGTACCCAGAATCAGTTTTGGAACAGAATCAAGAATAAAAAAAAAAGTAACTTATTGATTCTGAAACAATTTTTTCAGAACTGATTCTTCTTGATTTTTTTCTTTTTTTTTGTTGTTGTTCTTCGGCCCCGCCACCCGCCGGCCACCGCCGCCTACGACCGGCCACAGGCCAGGGCTAGCGAGGGCGGCTCGCGGCCTCGCCCAGTCAAGGCGAGGCCGGCCTCGCCGTCGCCACCCAAGCGATGGACCTAGGTGGCGAGGCCGACCTCGCCGTCGCCACCGGCGAGGGCGGCGGCGAGGGCCGCGACGCCCTCGCCGGCCTGGTCTGTGGCTGGTCGCCGGCGCCGGCGGCAGACTATGGCCAAGAAAGGAAGGGGAAAGAAAGAAAAAAAAAAAAGAAAAAAAGAGAAATAAAAGAAATAAATATTAAAAAATTCAAAATATTATTAATAAAAAGAAATTTTGTGTTGTTACCGAACGCATTTCTGTTCTTTTTCTATTCTAAGAACAAAAATTTTGGGCAGTTACCAAACGCCTTCAAATGCTTATAAATTGTTTCCGGATATAGAATAAAAAAGAATCATTTCTGCCCAGAATCAGATTCTGAGCACAGAATGATTGTCATGCGTAGCCTTATGGATACCCGATTAATTGCATATTTTTTTATTCAAATAATTTAAGCAAAACCATTTTTTAAAGTCCAAAGTTAAATTTCAATCTAATCGATCTTGACCTTATTGGGTCTTTTCCTAAATAAACTTGCAGGTTTCAATTACTATAGATTGCTCGTTATTTGTTCTTTCCTATGAGCATTTTATGTTTCTCTTCCTGAATTACGAAACACAGATCCAAGCTCATTACACCCTTTTCACTTTTTATGGGCCTAATACCCTAAAAAAAAAAAAACCCCCAACTTAGCTCCAGTTCCAATTTTACCCTTAATTTTTTTTGGTCTCATAAAAAGCCCTCCGACTTTAGTCAAATCCCGATTCCATCATGAACTTTTCTTTATCTCATAAAAAAATCATCAACTTAAGATCCAATCTCAATTATAATTGAACTTTTTTTTATCTCATAAAAAAAACCATTAACTTTTAGTTGATTTCATATTTGTCTTCGAACCCTTAGTCCAAAATCACCATTAGTGATGTGGCATTTCCACATCATTGCTCTAGTTTTTATCTCCAATTTCATATCCAAGAAGACATCTTTTGAAAATGAATTTTCATGTCAGCTCAAACGATATCTTATAGAATTTGAAATTTGGGTAAAAATTGGAGCAATTAGGGTTGACGTTCTTCAATTACTCTTACTCTTAAGAAAGTCTTCCTTTTATTTCACTCGATGATCTTTGATTTTGCGCTTGATCTTCAGTCTCTCGTCCTCCGGAGTCTTCCATCATTCGCGGTTGGAGAAATCGCACTCGAGACACTCGGCTCGGGCGCTCGAGCAGCTCACACTTGAGAGTTTCTCATCTCTCGGTTGTCGAGAAAAATTTTAAACGGTGGGTTAACGCGGCAAATTTATGACTCACGAAAAACTAGTCGGTTGACAAAAAGTGTTTTTTCATTAACTGTAAACTATAAGCTTAGATTTGGAAAAACGACTTTCCCTTCTGGCACAAAAAAAAATCGTTTTTCACTGCTTGTCCAAGTGAGAGGAATAGGTTTCCATATGTTTATATCCTATCTCTCATGCTTTCTTTCTTTTTTTTTTTACTTTGATAATGTGTGTCATATTACATGTGTTTAACATGCAACAATTAAATAAACAAAAATGGCTTATTACAAGTGTGTGTTTTTTTTTGTCGCTTAATTGTTTGAAGCCCTGATATCTTTGAGAAGTGGGAACTATGCAGTATGCACGAGGAAACAGGAGAGGCCAAGAGAGATGATTGTCGGCACTATTTCCACCCCTTTTAAAATATTCAATTTCTTAGACAACGACGCTCTCTCTTTTGAGAAAATATTAGGTGGTCCGGACAGCCAAGTCAGCGTGATCCTCGACCACTCACGAGGCGCCACGTGGTCCACGTGGTGCGGGTGGGACCGGCGGGCCGAGACCCCTTTTTTGCCCAAAAAAATTAAAGTTTTCTCTTCTTTAGCTTGCACTCCTCTCGTGAGTGGTCGGGGACTACTCTGACTTGGCGGTCCAGGACCACCTAATATTTTCTCCTTCTCTCTTTTAACTTCTTGTTACTTTTTACCATGTTAGACCACGAAGATATCATCTTCTCCTCCATCCCCTTATCTCTTTGTCTAGAGAAGAAGGTTGTTAATCTTATGAATCACAAATATGAGAATATATTTAGAATTTCGATGTACGACGACTCGTGAATACATGATTAATTATGGATTTCTTGTTCAAATTTTTCGACTGAAACCATATTTCAAAGTCAAAAATTCAATTTCAATCCAACCGATCTTGACCTTATTGGGTCTTTTCCGAAATAAATTTCTAAGTTTCAATCGTTAAATATCGCTTACTATTTGTTCTTTCCTTTGGGCTTTCTACTCTTGTTTTATTTCCTGATTAGCAAAATGGACGCTTAAGCTCATTACACCTACTTCACTTTCAAACACCCGTTATTTCACAGAGGAAAATTTCGAGCATATGCTTGATTTGTCATCCACTTACTCTGAGATCTGAGACTACGATCTAAATCAACTCTTTTCTTCATGGTAGAAGTAGAATGGTGAGGAAGTTATGATCACAATCTCAAGCTGACCTTGCCATTGACTCTCAAAGGCTACTAAGGAAGTGGTTCACTGTTTCCCTTTTCCTACCAGGAAAGGTAGCGGATTGCCAAACTCTCTTCTTGTTTCTTGTCTTGGACTCCTAGGATGCAGCTTGCAATTTTGGATGTGTATTAGGGACAAAAGTTGCAGTTGCAGGGCAATAAGTCTTTTGCAGATGAAGTTGTCCAAGCAAAATTCACGCACTTTTCAGTGAAAACTGAAAACCGACTCAAAGGGTTTCCGGCTCCGGACTTTATTAGGCTCTTCATCAGGTTACAAAAGACAGGTACAAGCACAAGGAAGCACAAGAAGGGAACAAAGCAAAATCGGGGAACATCCCGACCACATCGACATCTCAGGACTCAAAAGTCGAGTCATTCTCAATCAATCCAGTAGATTTCTTTTTATCAGGATCAGTCTCCTTTAGCTATCAAGGTGAGCAAGAATTCCTTGTAGTTCCCATTAGCTGTATCCTCAATCTTTTTGGACAAGTGAACTCCGTACATCTTGCTGAACTCTTCATCGATCTCCTTTACATCAACATCGGCTCGGGTGACGATTACTCTAGTCACTGCCTTCTTCGTACTTTTGTCTGCATCAGGTCTTAATGCCAAATCCAAAACCTGAAATCAAAAGCAGGAGGTTCAATTCAATGCATATGTGGACACATAAGTGCAGTGGCAATTGCCTCGGGCGAACTATAACCTGGCTGAAATATTTTTCAGGAGTGCACAGGCATTGCACCGTCTCTTGTAGTCTTGAGTCAGATTTAAGATCCTGAGACAGAGAAGAACAGGGTGTGAAATTCAGTACGTTTACCAAACAAACAACCCTTTCAAAAGTACTGACTTATTAGCAACGATTTACGTTGCTAAGACTCGGATTTCTTACTTCATCAAGGTTACTGCCGCCGATCTCCTGGTAATATTTATAGACTGCCTTGAGATGGGGCTTGCTTCTCGTCGTTAGTATTCTTATGACCTCTTCATCCTGGGTCTTCTTTTCGCCGCTCTTGATGGCATTCAAAAGAATCTTTGCCTCGGATTTCGCAGTATCTTCCTTTAGATTTGACCCTTCATATCGATATGCACTGACTAGTGCCACTAGTAGCTGCTTTTTTTTTTATTTTATCAGAAACAACTCAGATTCAGCTAGATGCTATGAACATGTTCCAATTTTCACAGGTCCAAGCATTTTTGCTCACCTTGCAATCGGGGCCATGGACTTGGGAAGCGATGTCTTCCTCGATCGAGTGCTCAAAGAGGGAGTGGTAAGCCCTTCTTGCTCCCAGCAGCTCTTCCGACGATCTCGTGCAGGCGACCTCTATAAGGACATTATAAGAATCTGGACCTTCTATCAAGGCTTCCTTCATGAGACGCGCATCTCTTTCCCAAGGATGCATGGCCCAGAGCACCACGGCATTCTGAGATTCATCGAAGCAAACATCAAATCAATCAACAGCCGTTAGTTTCTCAAGCAATTCATGGCCAGAGCAAATCATTCGTATACCTTTTCTTGCAGCTATATTCGGGCATAAATTCGCCAGAGCACATGTCAAAATTCTGAATTTGCCACTATATATTGTGTTCTTTTCCCATCCCAGAAAATAATCAAATTACGTTTTCAAGTTATCCCCAGCATTCTCAATGGACTCCCATCTCTCAGAAACAAGAAAAACTATCAAGTCATCCTTTACAGACATTCAATTGTTCGAACAATTGAATCACATCACCGTTGCGGCCAATAAAGATTTCATCACTAGGACAGAAGTGGGACTTTAGGACGCCGCGCGATCATACTACGAAGCGAATGCATACAAAGTTATGCCGCGGGCAAGCGGCGGCATCGCCAAGAACTCGAGTACCTTGAATCGCATGAATTCGCGCTTGAGGAGCTTGATCCTGTGATCATCCCACCTCTCGAAGCTCCTCTCATCCTCTTTGAAGAAGTGCGGGTTCCCCTTCCTGAAGGATTTCCTCTTCTCGGGGTGCGACTTCCCCAGCACCGCGATCAGCGTCCTCTCATCAACTCCGTGTCCTGAAAAAACCCGGGAAGAGCAACATCGGACACATTGAACACGTTGGACAAACACCCGACAAGAACAGCGGATCAAACCGCAAGCTGAAAGCGATCATTTCGGGCGATCGATCCTTCGAACATCTGCCGAGAATTCGAATACGAAAAGCGGGGAACGGACGAGACCTGAGAAGGCTCTGGTGAGAGCTTCGAGTTCATCGGACTGAGCCATCGTCTCCCCCCTTGCTTTGCTTTCTTGGTGGGTGCCCGGGGGTCTGAATTTTGATCGTGCAATGACGATCGTCTTCATGCCGGCTCGCTGCTGCATTTATAGGGTCCCACAAGGTCACTTTCGTCATCCCGAAAAAGGAATTTCCTGTTTTTGGGAATTTTTTTTAATTTTTTTTTTTACGGCAGCGAAAGATGAAACCGATGTTGTATGTTTAATTAAGAGGTTATTAAATGAGCGGGGGAGTTGCAAAATTTGTTTTGAGATATTGTTAATAAAGGTAGCTTTTTTAGCAGGAAAGGGCTTGGGATTAATGGGACCAGTTGAATGGGCTGCGGTGATGCCCCCCGCCCCGCGGTACTTCAGCGAATTTGCAGTTCGCCCCCCCGGGTCGGCGAATTTTGCGGTTTGCCCCCCTCGTCTTTTATATCGTTGCTTGTGCGCACCCGAAATGAAGATTCCGATTCATGTGAACCCTCGAACTCGATGGTGCGCTTCTGTCTGAATAAAACTTACTTCTATCGCTATCAATTGAATTTTACATAGCTAGGACCTTCAGTTCACATGTCTTTCCTCTCACGTACTCGTGAGCTTCCGCAGTTAATAATGGGCACAATCAATGCAAGGCAATTTTTAATTTTGTGGGAAGAACTATGAGTAACGCCGTTACATCAACCGTGCACAGCAAGATATAATCAACGGAAGCATCATTCAATTCTCAATGTCGAAGTACCGTATTAGTCAATTGACACCGTTCGATTCAATCTTTCTTTTTATTTACATTTCGGAGAAACGACGTGTAAATGTCGCTAAAATCGCAAACTCGAGCCTCGTAAAATTCACACTTCTTTTTGTTTGGTTCCTGATGGACCGTGTGGCCTGCATTTGGAGGCACATCAAGATCAGGGGGGCCCAGAATATGATACCAGATTTTTCCTTGTCTTCTTATGACAAGGTAGGTGCGAATTAAACGATGGAAATGGCCCACAGTACGACCATGCCTTATCCACCACACCTATCTTCTCTCGTGCAATAATAGCTGAGATGTGGTTGAGCCGACATTATGGAAATGGGTTGGGCATCACATGTCTCATATTATCATTATCTTGAGATAAATGTGACACCTATACAATAGGACGATCATTGATGTATGGGACCCAACTTTCTAGGATGTAGCCTAGACCCGTCTAGGGTTAACGTTGTAGTAAGGAGGTAGTTAAAGTTTGTGGCTGAGGTTAAAAAGAAGTACGGTGTCTCCGACAAAGGCAAAGATACATTTCATGTATAAATCGGTGAGAAAATTACCGAAAAAATCCTGAACATATTGCATGAATGCCAATTCGTTCATAAACTTTTCAATTTAATCAATTTAGTCCTAAATCTTTTGACGATTTGCCAATGTAATTCTTCCGGCCATTTTTAGTCGGAAATCGCTGACATGGACTCCGGCCATTTTTAGCCGGAAATCGCTGACATGGACGCCGGCTGTCCTACGTGGCATTGCCGATACTGACGTGGATAACTTTTTACATTTTTTTAATTCTTTTTAAAAGAAAAAATGGAAAAAAAAATTACAAAAAATTACAAAAATTGTCCACGTCAGCAACAACCGTATCATGTATGACGGTCAGCGTTTATATCAACAATTTCTTATCAAAATTGGTTGAAAGAACTACTAAGGCAAATCGTTAAAAGGTTTATGATTAAATCATCTTAATAAAAAAGTTTAGATGGCATCCGTATGATAAATTTATAACTCTTTTAGTAATTATCCCATATATTGGTGGATTGAACCTATATGAATAGGCTAGGCCGTTCGTTCCTGGTGAACATAGAGACCAACTAGTATCACCAAAGTTCCATGCACATTACCATTTGCAATACCCAACGATTCAGTAAAAGTTCCTATGCCTCGTCCCATTGTCGTTGCATCTGCAGAAGACAAGTACTGACTAGGATGAGTCTTGAATGGAACTGGTTTCTCTACAGCTAAGGTTGATTGATATGAGCTGTGTCTGAACTGGATATTGCAGACATGATACGTATCTACTGCTAAACCAAATTAGTTAATTATAAGAAGTTTCTTGATGCGTGACATCTGGTTCAGATGAAGGTGTGAAAACCCATCTAGGAGGTTTGTCTTGTCAACTGATAAGCGTGATCCACGCATGGTTGTCCCTTTAATGTGTAATTAATTGAACTGGGCCTAGCAAGTGATGTCTGATGACCCTGTCCATACGGGGAACTAGCCAAACCAGATGTGGAAGAAAAGAAAAAGAAGAGCATGGAGGGTTCCAAATTTCCAGAAAGCTAAGGAAGAGCAATAACTGAGAATGAAACAGGTTAGCATCGTTGTCCAAGTCATGAAATCAGGATCAAATCCAATCTGATTAATGAAATATTAGGGTATAAAGATGGGTTGTAAAGATTGACTTTCCGGATCATTCTTTGTGATCATGGAGCAATACGTGTTGTGCAGCATTGTTTTGATAACTTAAAAGAAAGAAAGGAAACAAAAGGGGGACCCTTTAAGAGCCCACCCATCTGATGATAATCTGCAGAATCATGGCCGGCCATGTGGAGACGATTCATTGCTGATCGAGCACTGACCAGCAACAAAATCAAAGCATATCTGGACACGCATGCATACCAAGCTTTCAGATGTGCCCATCATCGCTATAATTGCAGAAAGCAAGCGTTGAGAAATTTGATGAAATCTTTCACGTGCGTAGACTGCATGCCTCAAGACGGGGAAGGAGATGAGTGAACACAGACATGGACACGGCATGGTTCATTCTCGGGATTGATTTCACTCGGGATGTGGATGTGGATGTGGATGTGGATGTTTCCATTGATGCTACCTAAATTTGCAGTGCATTCAATCTGTACTGTCGTTTTCAGCTATAACTTCTTTCACCCTACGTGGGACAGGTGTAACGTGTGGGGGGCGTTGTTGTGGAACACGATCTTGTTTTAGGATTTTATCAGAATAAGCTTATATAGCGCAGCTGAAACACGAGGATACGAACATGTCGGTTCTGATGTGTATGTGTTGCACGCTGGTCGTGCATTTAAGTTTGGCGAAGGGGTGAATCCATTCACACACAGCTTAGAAGAATGAAGCTTTCGAGGAAAAATTATCCAAAAAGTCATAAATTTATTATATTTTTATCAATTAATTTATAAATTTTTTAAATTTACCAATTAAGTCATAAACCTTTTCACTTTTTATCAATTGAGTCTATATGGCCAATTTTGATTGGCCGGGCCTGACATGGCCGCTGGCTGTTCGACCAACACTGACGTGGTAGTTTTTAAATATTTTTTTGAATTTTTTAAATATTTTTAGATATTTTTTTCTACCTTCTTCCCTCCGTCCAGTCCGGTTATCCAAAAAGTCATAAATTTATTATATTTTTATCAATTAATTTATAAACTTTTTAAGTTTACCAATTAAGTCATAAACCTTTTCACTTTTTATCAATTGAGTCTATATGGCCAATTTTGATTGGCCGGGCCTGACATGGCCGTTGGCTGTCCGACCAACACTGACGTGGTAGTTTTTAAATATTTTTTTGAATTTTTTAAATATTTTTAGATATTTTTTTCTACCTTCTTCCCTCCGTCCAGTCCGGCGACCAGCCAGAGGCGCAAGCCGGCAAGGTCGACCTCATTGGCCTCTGGCGAAGCTCGCCCCCGTCGGCCACTGATGAGGGCGAACCTCGCCCGCCGCTGCTAGGCGACCTCGCCTTGGCTGGGCGACACTCGACCTCGCCCAGCCAAGGCAAGGCCGGCCAACGTCGTCGCAAGTCGGCCTTGCCTTGGCTAAGCGAGGCTCGAACTCGCCCAGATCTGGCGAGGCCGACTTGGCAGCGGCGAGTGAGGCTTGCCCTCACCAGAGGCCGGCGAGGTCGACCTCGCCGGCCTGCACCTCTAGCCGGTTGCCGAACCGGCCAGAGGGAAGAAGGCAGAAAAAAAAATATTAAAAAAATCAGAAAAAATATTTAAAAATTATCACGTCAGCGTTGGCCGGCAGCCACGTTAATGCCGGTCGACCAAAATTGACCAGATGAACTCAATTGGTAAGAAGCGAAATGTTTATAACTGAAATGGCAAACTTAAAAGATTTAGGATTGAATTGGCAAAAGTGCGATAGATTCTGGACAATTTTCTCAGCTTTCGATGATCATCGTCGCGTCGGATCCTCTCGTTTGGTGTTATTTACTTACATTCAAATGTGCATCAACGATGGCTCGTCCATGAGTAGGGACGACCGCCTTCTCTATAATTTAGTCGATCGAGATATTTACATCTAATGAATATGAAATTAAGCGTGAACCAACACATCATCATCGATCCTTATTATAGTTCTTCCATCACCACGTCCGACCTGTAACTCATATTATCTTCTCTCCGATGAACCGTAGCTTACCTTTATCTCGAATTGTCGCCCCACATTACATCCGACGCTGACACCGTTCGGCAGTTGACGTGCCCTAGTGATGTTGAATCAGATAATCATCGCACATTTGATCCATCATCGAATGCAAATGATGCATACGCGTTTTATTCCTATTGACGATCTGAATTCTACCGCCTATTGCTTCGCCACCGTCACCGATTTTAGCACATGATTTTCATCAACAAGACGCCATTAATACATACTAAGAGAGAATTATAAAAGATGGGTCCAAAGAACTGCACATCGCTCGAGGATGGAGTCGTGTGACGTCAAAATTCCGGAATTGGGGTGCGAAATAGAAAGGCACCGAACTCCAGAGGATGATTTTCGGATAAACACAAAAAGGAAGGGTCATCGTTGCAAAAGTCTCGTGGGGGAGGAAAGCGCAAATATCAAGTAATCGCGGCCTTCGTGACGAAAAGATCACACATTTAAGGGGAGTAAAAATCGGAATAAAAAAAAGCAAAAGCGAGCGAGAGAGAGAGAGAAAGAGAGAGAGAGAGAGAGGGGAAACAGCTCAGAGGAGAGGAGAAAGCTCCTTAATTCCAGCGACGGTTAGGCCTATGAAGAAGGAAACAGCTCGCGAAGACGACGAAACCGAAACCGAAACCGAAACGCTGCGGCACAAGAGCGCTAGGAGGAGGCGACGGCGGCGACGGCGAAGGAGCATCAGTGCGTCCCTAGCGAAGCTGAACCCTTCGATCGGGAGGCGCTGCTCTTGCCTCTTCAGCTGTTTCCCGAGAGGTCCCCCGGGGAGGTTCTCGCCGGCGACGGGGATGGCCACGCTCAGGGTGCCGGACGTCGTCCCGTCCCCGTCCGACGACTGCGCGAGGCTCCGGAAGGCCTTCGAAGGTTCTCTCTCCATCGCTGGCGATATGTTTTTTTTTTGGGCCGTCGTGTTGCGTGTTTTCTCGTTCTTCTCCGGCTCCGGTGTTTCCTGATTTGCTTGTCGTTTTTCCCGGTTGAGGTTGAGGTGGTTTTTTGCATCCTCGACTGTTCATTAGTGAGTTTTGACTTCATGCAGTGATAGAAAACAACCGGATAAGTATTTCCGTTTGGGGTGTTTTGCGTGTTGTGCCGTCCCTGGTGTGCACTGATTAGCATTGTTCCTCCTTTGACTTGCATTCCTTTATTGATTTCGGCGATAGTTCCCAGAGATGAGCGCTTCTTCTCGACCTAGTTTACGCGTTTATGTTCGATTCGTTGTTGAGGATTGGCTGGTGGATGTAGGATGGGGAACCGATGAGAAGGCGATCATATGGATATTAGGACACAGGAATGCAAGTCAGAGGAGGGTAATCGGGGAGACTTATCAGCAGCTTTATAACGAATCCCTCGTCAACAGTCTTTATTCCGAGCTCTCTGGGGATTTCAGAGTACGCTAATCATGTCCTTTGCATTGTTCGTTTTCATATATACATATAACTTGATATGCTCAAGCGACCTGGCTTCATGTCTTTACCTTCACCAAGATATAGATGCCGGGTTCCGACTAAAGTATAAGTATGGTAACTAAACACAAGCATGTTTTATGTTGGAAGTGATGTTTGCCAATATGGCAAATTGACTGTTGAGAATTGGTTGGTTTCTTTCAGAAAGCAGTGATCTTCTGGACATATGATCCTCCGGAGAGGGACGCCAGATTGGCAAAGGAGGCCTTGCAGACTAAAAGTAAAGGCATAAACCACTTACTTCCGATTGTTGAGATCGCATGTGCGACATCTCCCCACCATCTGATTGCCGTAAGGCAGGCCTACTGTTCACTCTATGATGGCTCGCTCGAGGAAGACATCCTGTCGGCGATATCTTTGCCCTTCAGAAAGGTAAATGCTTAGATTAGCGGTGACACTGCCTCTTTAGGATGGTGCTAAATATCTTTATGTAGGTTTTGCAGTCGAAAAGAACTTTTTTCTTTCATGCACAATACGTTTGCCAGAAGAAATTTGTATTCATTGGCCATTTTCAGGAAAAAGTATAAACCTGCAGCAGTTTGGCATGCCGTTTTGAAATTGCCAACAAGTAACCACATGAAAAGCTATAATCCTAAAATAATGTCAGATCACTGTTTTCGTAATGTTCAAGTACAACTGAAGGGGGTTAAGGTAAACTGATGTTCAATTGCTAGCTGTTTTTAACTTGATTACAGACCTTAAAAGTAGTTATCTGGTCCCAAAATAAGTCTGACACTTGATGTAATTTAGTAAATATCAAATTCTAGTTCTGTTTGCTCGAGTGAATGCTTCATTTCTGGTGCATGTCCATGGCCTTTAGCTGATGTTTGACTCAAACTTTGAATTGTTCTACGAAGTCTTACCTGGGAGCGTGTCCAGAACATGCTGAAGGGTATAGTAAAAGTGGGAAGTTTTTCGCATTGACGACACTCTACATCTCAATATGACTTCGTGTCTGTTTACCTCCATCTAGTAGCTCCAATTTCAGAGCTTCCCTCATAATTTGCAATGTCTCTGCTTCTGCAGATCCTTGTAGGATTGGTGAGCTCCTTTAGATATGATAAGGAAGTGGTAAATATGGATGTTGCTAATTCAGAAGCAGCATTGCTGCATGAAGCAATCGAAAGCAAGCAATTGGATCAAGATTCTGTTTTGTGGGTTCTTGGCACTAGGAACATTTTTCAGCTCCGAGCAACTTTCCAATGCTACGAGCAGAACTATGGGACTCCTATTGACCAGGTCTAGTATTTGCATTTCTAACTTATCACACAATCCTTTGTCTTTATCTTTTTCTTCTTCTTTTTTTGTTTTGAGGAGTTTATCGGGATGTCTTGCATCATTCAGGATATCAAGAGCTGCGGGAAGGGTGATCTTGAATCTCTGCTAAGAGTGGTAATATGTTGCTTAGATTGCCCCGAGAGACACTTTGCAGAGGTCAGTATAGTAATCCGCTGCCAATCATCCGGTGTCAGTGTGTTATTGATACGCCAATCATTTATGATGACATAAAAGAGAATATAATCCAATTATAAGACTTAAAAGACATGATCGTGTGAGATGCGATAATGATAATTAAAGGCATTATCCATTGGCTTTGAGTCAGTTCACGTTCCCATGAGTGTTGAATATGGATGCGGTTTTATGTTAAATTGGAATTCTTAGAAGCCAGCAAACCACTACTCCCTGAATTCTTGTTATGTCTAAAACCACGACGGCTTGCGCTTCTATAACGACCTGTGGCTTTTGAAGGATTTTAGGCCATGGAATGTGAAATAGAGCATGTGAATTTATTAAATATGTCTGCTAGATTTTCTAGTATGAAGCTTGGCATGTCTTTTGTGTAATGGCTTTACATACTTCAATAGGCTTGTGCTCAAAAAGTTTTGTTCTTTGATCCTTAAATATCACCAGGTGGTCAGAAATTCCATAATAGGGCTCGGCACGGACGAAGATTCGCTCACCAGAGCCATCATAACCCGAGCTGAAATTGACATGATGAAGGTCAGAGGTGAATACAATAACTTATACAAAAGCAGCCTAGACAGCGCCGTTATTGGCGATACATCGGGATATTACAAAGATTTCTTGTTGACATTGCTTGGAGCGAAAATATGAGTTTCATTCTTCGCTGCTTGTGTGCTGGCTTGTCCAAGTGTGTGCTTGTTTTGATATGAAAACTTGCTCGTGTATTTACGCACCACCTTCTGCAGGGTGCCCGAAGCAATTGTTTGTGCATTACTCCTAATTCGTTGTGCCATTATCATCCAATCAAGTCCTCGTGTCTGTCATCATAATATCTGTTTAGCCATGGCATCACCAGACAGCTGGTTTCTAATGCATCAATCTATAGACCATAGTCCATCTCTACATCTTGTTCCTTTGTGCCAAAACTAAACGAGAGAATTCCAAGAAACCAGATCTGGCAAAAGACATTCCTCAATTTTCTCATGGAGAAATTCTAATAAATGTAGCCACGAGAAAACTCTGCTCCACTTTAAGGCATCCACCACGCAAAATATTTCAGAAAGTTACTCCGAGAAACGTCGAGGCGAAAGACACTCTCCACCCAATGCTCTGGTGTTCGCCCCTTCCAAGAAGTCGGACATTGTGTTAAACTATCATTAGGACACTTAAAATTTGAATGCCGGTACTTCGAGTTTGTTCATAATCCGAGGCTTTAAATCTGCTGGTTAACCCGACTGATGCCAGAACCTACCAGTCGCCAAATCCGCATGGAAGATATCATACAACAGGGTGGAGGTCAAGTGCATATGGATATGGCCCTGAAAATCTACCAATTCACATGGAATTGCAACACAAAGCAAAAGAAATGTATGAATCAAATACTCGGGGTGAAAACAATAACTCTTATATCTATGTGCGATCTAGGCGCCTCATTTTTCTGCCAACTAACGCCCCAACAATCACTACTATGAGAAAAAGTGGAACAGGATAGAGTGCAGCCTGCAAGGAGAGTTCCATAAAGGAATCTACTTAACAAAATTCTTTTGATCTAAAAAATGCTATATTGAAAAGGCAGAGTGAAAATACTCAAGCTGGAGACCGAGAAGTAGACACTAGCGGCTCCGTCGAGCTTGACTCTGATGCCGCAAGGTTCATGGGTCGTAAAAATGGCGGACAATATGAATCTTTTGCAATCTCAGAACTCAGTTCCAACTGGTTGCTCTTCTTATCAAATTCATCATTTTCAGTAGCATCCTGTCCATTGCAAGGGCAGAAAATAATCCTTGTAAGGCGTGGGTGGGGAATCCTACTTGTAAATAACTCACAGGACAACCATACATAGTGTGCATAACTCAGAAAAGAGAGCCATGTCACTGCAAATACATGTAATTATAGTGCACAGGCGATTTTTCTTGTTTTTTCGGTCAACATCAACAGACGAATTGAAAGAGTCCTAGTTAGGGCGTGAAGCAACCAACACGAGAAAACTAGTCATGTGATAACCCGATATATCAGGAAGACATGTGAAACTTGAATGTAATGACAAAACCAGCTAATACCCATAAACAGGAGCCATAGTCAAGTTGGCAAGCTGAAATTTTATATAATGTATGCATATGTTCATGCGAAGGTATATGCACGTATCCTGTAGAAGATACAGAACTCAAACGGGCTGTTTGATCGTCTTCTCTAATAGGCTGTATAGAGACCACGGATAAGGAAAAGCGACATGTAAAGTATTCCAATCCACTGCACCAATTTACTCCTGTGATCATGTAAGCCATATCTGCTCGTTAATGAGATATTTTCCTTTATTTTCTGTCCAAGTTCCTACTTTGACAAGCATCCAGAATCTGAAAGCGTTTCTAGTCAAACTGTAGCAGACTAATAAGATAGGACTAAAGGACCAAGTAGACATAGATAGTCTCCAGTGCATAAAAAGGCCAAAAACAACAAGGGAAAGCCAATTTGTGAAGCTAGCACAAAAATCTAGAAAATTCATGTTCAGAACATTAGGATGACCAGAACAATAAATAAAATAGCAACAGCAAAGCCGCATGAACACCTGTATGGAGTAGTTGCGGAATGTAGGATAGAAACGAAGCTTGCAATACCCATGGAACAACAAAGAGAATAACAAAAGTGGAACTGTGCATATAGAAGCAGCCGGCTTTGACTTTAGTCCAAAAAGACCAATCATCGTGATTTGCATAAGAATTATTGCGATGAGAATGTAGTGATGAATGTATGGCCAATACTTTCCGCACGTCTCATATGTAACTGCATACACATCTGTAATCTGCAAAGCCATGAAACACATGTTCTTTATGTGATAAGAGTTTCATTTTTCGTATCTACAATTCTTTACACCAACAAATCAAGCCAAACTGAATCACAAATAACTCAGTAACAATTAAACCAAGCAAAATGATAAGCAAACGCTAATGATCACAATATGCGAGAAGCATGAAATTAGAACAAATCAAATACTCTTCTCATACACAAATAAAGTACTGCTGGAGCTAATTGTTGTTTCATTTTCTAATTTTAGGATAGCTTATCCCACTCTACTGATAAGCCAGACCTACAAAATCACTCAGTGCAAAAGTAACCACACCTTTTAATGACGCATAACAGGGATGGCCCAAAAGAGCAGAGAAAGAAAGGAAGTGCACATAATCATGTACATATATCAAAGCATAAGTTTGTAATGTTGTCTACCCACTCTCCGATTCTGGACAAACTATAGTTTAAACAGCATATGAATCTTTTCAAACACTTCACAGCTCCAACTCTGATTTACCATCTGGTCATAAGTAAAAGCAAGCAAAAGCTCTACCGATTGATTCTTATTCTACCCACTCTGTATGCAGAAGGCCTAGCTAGATTTGAGCATTAATTTTGACTAAAACTTTCGGAAGAACAAATTCTTTGAGAAAACTACCCACATAGACATGAAGCCTACTTAGACTAAGTCCAGTCTCTTCATGATATTACTTACCATACGTGAAACTTTCTTATTGCTGCAACCAAGGAATCCCCATGCTTGAATAAGCATGTAGAATAAGTGTGCGTGCGTATGGGTGAGTGGGTGGATGGAGTATCAATTTATCCATCATGAACTATTGGACACGAGGATGATTAGAAAACAAACCTGGTTTATATACACGACATATCCCAAGCAGAAGTAGCAAATGAGAAATGGCACTAGCAACGGTACAACTAGGGCATACACCATTCCAATTAACATCGCCAATGAGACCACAGGGATAACTCTAAAGTAAGGTAGAGAATAAAGATATGGTTCTTTCTCCTTCCGTTGCCTATAGGTGAGTGACTTAATTAAATCCCACAGAAGTAATCCAGGCTGAAGAATCTCCAACGAAAAACCCGACAGCCCATCTGTCAATATGTATGTAATGAAAAAATCTCCCTGAAAGAGAAGGAAAGGATTTAGCTGTGTGCATCATCCACAGAACAGATGCCAGGTAACGCTGATAAAACAAATGAAAGTACCAACACACATGCAGATTAGGCAAATCAACTAGTAAATAAGAGAAGATGCAGTGTAACTCTAATCCCAGATATCTTTCACAAGGTAACATTACTTTCACGCTGGTTTCTTTGACCAGTTTGACTTCTACAGTTTTTTTAATACTTCTTCATGTTAAATTTTCAACACGTTGTGCAATGTTTCACTGTAAAAATTGTACATCATGACTGAGCGGATATCCATGTGCCCACGGAAAATAGTGTAGCTTGCTTTATAGTTTATTAATGGTTTTTCCCTCATTATTTATCAGGTTTTAGCCAGTAAGAAGAAATCTAACTCCAGGGAAACGCAAAAAGGGGCATGAGTGAATTCAGCTATCCTTACTTGAGCAGAAACAGCCCTAGCAAGATGACTTGGGACGTTCTTTGGATGAGTAACTGATTCTCCTATTTCATCGAGCAAAGATCCAGACAACAGACTCAAAAAGAAAACATTTCCCACTAGAAAGTAGAAAACCATGTCACAAGCTTTCAACTCTTCCTTGCTCTTTGATACATAACCTGCTAGTTTAGCCATTCCAAGCATTGCAAAGGGAATGGCGTATATAAATCCATTAAGGATGACACTTGGCAGATACCCCGTCACAATGGAACTCAAACCTGGTCTGCAAACCAATCAGCACATCAGAAGGACAACCAAGTAGGTATCACAGAGAGAAGCTGTACATTTGACAAGCAAAGCACGATAAGAACGTCAAGCAACTCCATACACCGGTCTTAGGGATATTCCAAAAGACCGTGCCTAATCCATACATTCATGAGAATTCGCAGTCATATACTTCATTAACATGGCTGTTTAAACTCAATTCATATCTTGAGTTTAGAAGCGCACGGTCTTTAGATCCTGTCTAGCATGTGACAGAGCACTCAGAGACCTGGAAGCTACATGCTCATCAACCGGGCAGATGGTGCACTACCTAACCTGTTGCAAGTTAGCAGGCCAGGTGTAGTCCCTCGTTTGGGCTAATATGTTGCAGTACTATACTAACCCTAACCATCTAATCAAAAAATTACCAAAGGAATAGGAAGAGAAAATTGGTGAAATCATCAATTGGGAATGAAAGACAGTTGTCTTCACCAGATCAAAAATCAAAAAGACTTCATGCTTTTATTTTGTACATAAGCTGCTGCTACTGTATAATGGCAGCATCCATAGTCCATAACTGTGTTTGTTGCAATTTCGGCTTGCACACATGGAAATATTTCAATAGGAAGCCAATTTGCTGTATCATGATGGTTAAAGATCTAGCAAACCACAATGTCGTTCCCTTTACCGGTGATAAGAAAACGTACACTACTCTCTTTTAGATTTTCTCGCACAATAATCACTTAGTGAAACTATTCAAGTGCGCTTCATGAATTCATATGTTGTAAGAGCTTGATGAAGACAAGAACCTTACATCAATTGCACAGCCATGGCTGGAGGAAACCACTTCTTAAGCTTCTCAAATCTGGCTATTCCTTGAACAGCAGTCACTGGAACAGCAAAGAAAATAGTAAGGAGTGTTGCTGCAAGAATGACTCCAATTTTGTAAAGTGGCAAAACTCTATTTGGAATGGCCAGATTCTTCCATGATACATCTCTTGGTTCTGGAGCCACTTCAGTGGTCCATAAGAGCGGATGTGAATGTTGCTGGGATTGCGCAGCTAGGGCAGCACCCCATCGGGATTTGAATATGACAAAAGCAACAGGCAACTCCTGCAAGATTGGAAAACTCAGAAAACTAGATATTTTGGTCTGCAAGGAGCTGCAAATATAATATGAAGACCTTCATCCGATGAACTATATGGAATCAAGACAAACACAAGAGGCATCTAACAAACCACATTGGCATTCATCTATCCGTATGCTTTCTAGGTAACCACATTCACCAGATTCCTTCTTTGGCTTCAGAGGAAATTCAAAATCCTCTCAGTTAGATCTTGATCAAAATTAATTTTACCTGAAGAAAAAGGCATGCTAATTGCTAAGGGATCAAATACATTTAATATTCCTTCTCTCCCTCTCATGGCCAAGAGATGGGATGGGGGAAAAATTCTTTTAAACAGAGAACAATCACCAATTTCTTCTAGTCTGGCACATTATAGTCAGTCCCCTGATTATCTGACATTACAAAATCATAATTTTGATGTATCACCCGAAACTATTCTTCCTTCATTACCACAAAAAATTTGCAGCACTTAAATCTTCAACATGTGGACAATGCTTTAACTGTTATCAGAATTCTAGTCATTTTATGGAAATACTAGGACAATAATGCAGTGACAGAGCAAGTACATTTTGCAGAAAGAAGAGAGAAATAGGATACAAATCTATCCACAACATTAGCTTGCATTCAAAGTCAGAAATATGTACCACTCCCCCAGTTATCAACATATTACAAAAAGTGTATCGAGACAAAATGAGTGTGAATAAATGTAATTGTTGCCAGAAAGTAAAGCACCTTATCCTGAAGCATATCTTCACACTGTAACTGATGGATCCTATGAGAAAGTTCCTGAAGCTTCTCCTCTTGCAAGGTTATTTTAGTAGAATCTTCTCCATTAGTGCACAAGAGAAGGAACTCTCTCTTATGTTTCTCCACACTGGATCTCTTTCTAAGATCCTCTATCTTCCTTGCAATAGATTTTGCCTGGTCCTGCACAAACATACTTCTCGATGTTGAAGGAAATAAACCAGAAATGAGATGCATCACTCGTTACGCAGAAAAAGTACTCTAAGAAGTATGCTAGGCAAAGAAAGGCTCTCTATAACCATAAACATCCAAAAAAAAAAATGAATAAAGAACCATGGTCTTATTGTCAAATGGGAAGGCCAGGACACTTCCAAATTCAATCATTTTTTTACTATACTGAAGAGGAAAGAGGCTATTATGAGAAGACATCACAATGAGAGAGAGAGAGAGAGAGAGAGAGAGAGGAATTCTAAATGTTGCATGTCTTTCATTTATAGCGGAGTTTGATCCCCCAAGACAATTGATAAGCAACCCAAGACCCAATCTTATGAAGGCTTGAAAACTCCACCAACTATGATGCTCCCATCAGAGATGTCTCTCGTCAATGTGAAGTGTAGAATTTTCAAAAAGTGACACCAAGGAAAAGGATAATGCAATCTACCATTGTCAAACCAAAGATAAGTTCATAGTAAGTTCTTTTGTAGTGGCAAACATGCAAAGTCCAAAAGAATGGCATAAAAACGAGTGACCTCGTACAATTGTCTTACCAAAAGATTCTCGAGATGGCTTCCATCGTACATCATTTGGTAAGAATGATAACTGTACGGATGATGCTTAGAGAAAAAGTGGTCAACAGAACAACCACGCGCCTTATGATCAGTACAAAGAGGGATTCCTCGAACTAAAACAGTAAATTGGTCTGGCCGATGTCTAATAATCTGAAGTCGGTGGATCCTTTTACCCAAGATCTCTTTATATTCCTGAAGGGAAAATGGTCAGCCATCACTGCAACATTTTGAATTGATGTTAAAAAGCACTGTGGAAAGGTCGTTCCATCAATCGAAGGACTCTAAAGTTTCAGTTAAGTAAGCTGGATCAACAGCAAGATGCCTTGAATTCATCTAGAGAGGACTTCAGTCATGCTCCAGAATTGCAACCATAGACCCACCTTGTAAAGAAGGTATAGCCCATAGACAGACATCAACCACAAGCAAGTGAAATGCACCCAAAGCCTGGCAATGATGAGGTAAAAACGAATGAGCACCTTAATATCAGCCGACCCAGTTAATCAATTCATTTGCCTTTTATTTAGCTAAAATGCATTGATCGAACATCAGACAGAAAAGAACACACAAAGATGACACGAAACAGGTAATCATCCTTTGGATGATGATCTGAGGTTGTTTGACATGAGCTTGTGCTGACAACCTATGCTACCAAATTACCATCCATTTCACATGCGTTTGAGAAATTTCCCAGGAACTACATAGTGGCAAATTGGTTTGAGCTCCGGATCCTTTTAGTAACTCCTCACCACCAAAGACCTCACAAGTTACCATTTGATCCAGCATCTTCGTATCCTCCCAGTTAAACCTCAACCAAAAAGAGAAAACATCTGTCTGCTTATGCGTGACGGTACAAGCGCGTAATGGCGTGTCGAATGTTTGATTTGGTAGATTGACATGTCAGTTGCAATAAGCCCATAATATTCCCATGTACTCAGAACACGCACATCACTCAGTTCTCTCGATTACATGAACACAACACATATTAGCGTAAGTCGATAGCCTCACCCTCACCTGTCAGAGCCTCTTCTGATATTAGATATCGCAAGAGAGTCCATGGACAGGTAATCCACAGGCGGTCCATCCTGGCCATTATAGTTCACAGGCAGAAGCACCACCAATCCAACGAGAGAGCAAGGCAGGAAGAACTTGATTCTGCAACCAGATCCATCGCACAACGAAGTCCGTTAAAGGCAGTCACAAGCGCCTAAATCGCGATTAAACGACCGCACTGGAGGAACCGATCGAACCCGAACTTGAAGAGCCGGATGATGATGAGGGCGTCGAGGCCGCTGGACTCGAGGATCTCGTCCTCCGTGACGCGGAAGGCGCGGGCGATCCACGAGACGGAAGGGAGGAAGCGGCGGAGCGCGAGCGGCGGGTCGAAGGGGACGCGGCGGCGCTCCGAGAGGCGCCGCGCGTGGTAGATGGCGGCGCTCGACGGCTGCTTCTTGACGACGGAGAAGAGGGAGAGGACCACCAAGGCCAGGCCGATGTTGATGGCGGCCGACGCGAGGAGGCTCTGCGGATTCATGGCTAGAGAGAGAGAGAGAGAAGCACTGCGAGTGTAGAGAGAGAAAACGGAGGTTGGAGTTGCAGGGAGAGAGCGCGCGTCGGGCGATGTACAGGTGCCACCTTTGCATGAGTGACGACGTGGCGGTGGCGCGAGGGGACGTTACGTTACGGTGCTTCTGCAACTGTCAGCGCGCTGCGCTTCTTTGCTTGATCCGGTGCGGACGGCTCCAGGATTCGCGGTCCCATCGGAGCCGTTGCCTGAGGATTCGGCCGTTGGTTACCTGATCCGACGGATGCTGACGAATGTTGGGGAAGCTTTTGAGTGAATTGCCCCGTCTCCTTTTTTGGGTTTTTCTGCCCAGAAGTTTTGCGATTGCCGGTTGGGTCTTGAATTTGTCACGTTCTCCCAATCTGATGGTGTGAACTTTTTGTTTTTCTTCAATTGGGTCCCTGAATTTATTGACTTTTTCTTGACGGGTTCTGCATCTGCTAGTATTTTCCATAGTTAGCGACGGTCAATGCCAATGGAGTCAACGGAGAAAAACGTAATTAGCGGCCCGCATCGATATTCAATTTTCAAAGTATCCTCTGGACTTCATTTTGTTTTTTCTCAAAATGATCCTTACGCTTGGAAAAAATTGTGCGGAAGCCCCAATATCGGACATCGGACGTTCAAAAAAGTCATCACCTGCCAAGTTTTGTACATGTGTGGATTAAAAAATGCATGCACACCAATGCAAAGTCATTTTCCTCATAAATTCATATTCAAGGTCCATTTGTTCAACACAAATACCGTTTGGTTCAGTGAATCTTGATACACATTTTGCAAAGTACTTTGAAGTAAAAAATAAATAAATGGGAAAAACATAAGGTATGGCTATTGGAGAATAGAGATATCCCATCGTGGAAGCAAATTTGGCCAAAGTAAATCCACTGCCAAAGACAATCGAACCGTTGAAGAGGCCAGGCGAGACGATGCTGAGGTCCCGCGACCCTGGGCAGCCAAGGCAAGGCAATATCGAGGGTTGTGCAACCTTAGTGACCTAGATCCGCACAAACCTAAACCCTCAGCGACCCAGTCCTGCACTCATTGACATAGACGCACGAACCCAATCCTGCGGTACCCGTCGGTGAGGCGTTAGACTAGTGATCAAATCTAGATCCATAACGTTTGATTCAAGGAGGGAGAATATGAACAGTGATTTTGAGGGCAAAATTAAAATATACAAATATTTGTGAGCGCAGAGTTAGGAGGAAAAGTTCATTAAAATATGAAAAACTACATTCCAAAAGTGTTAAATGCCAGTGTTGGGTGGTACTTGCATTTAGCTAATAAACTTTGGAACTGCTAACTTTGACTCAAAAGTATTTGGAAATGCTGAACCAAACACCTCAACTTTTATCCAAAGGAGTTTGGAGGCCAAAAGTCTTTTGAGAATATTGAACCAAACCCGGCCTAAGTTTAACTGCTCATTTATCTATTACACGACTAAAAGAGAGGGTATCAATTCAGTGCAGGTGTTTGTCTCTTTAGCATTACTCGCTAAGGTACCCACTTACAAGTGAAGCAAGAGCTTGGATGTACTCAAATGTGCTCATACATGCCTACTTTTTTAGACAAGATTGTAGCTTTATTTGCTCATTCAATAATACCACGAGAACTGTCGTGTATAAATAGTACGGGTTAAACTACTTACATTGCAACGATAGTGTTTTCTATTGGAGGCATTAGTGAATGGGAATTAGCAAATCCACCACAAAAATGTCAATACGAAAACCATTTTTTTATATTCCTAATATGTTGATAAGACCAATGGAAAAAAAGGAAAGGTTTCGTCTGGTTTTTTTTTTTTTTTTTTGGGCCGTCCCCCAAAAATGGAAAGCGACGTCCCGAACCAAGTGCACCACCAACTCGACCCGCCGCGTGGGCCCCACCCGCGTCGCTCCAAATGAAAATGAAACCCCGAATGCAAGAAGCCAAGCCCAAATGAGACTCTCCGCCAATCACGTGGCGGGAGTAGATCCGCCTCTTCCTGGCCACAAGTTCAGATACGCCCCCGCTCACACGTGTCGGCGACCCAGGAGAACCACCAGCCACCTCGGAGGAATTACCATCACTGCTCGCACGTGACGTCACGTGGACTCTAGGCCTCACCCTCCCACCACCCCAGTTCCTCTCTCTCTCTCTCTCTCTCTCTCTCTAACTCTCTTTGGGGGAAAGAACCGTGTGTGCTCTGTGGAGAAGACTTGTCTTGTATGTATGTCCTGTTTCTCTCTCTTTCTGAGTGTCTTTGCGGCCTGTTATTTCCTGGGTTTGAAGAATTAATGGTTTTTTTTTTTTTATTGTTCTGGTGATCTGTTAGGAAATTGGCCATGTTTGGAGTTATTTACCAGTGTGTCCCTCAACTGGATTTTCATGTAGAGATTTGGTGTTGTTTCGCTAGATATGTTTGATTGGAACGACGAAGAGGTAAGTTTGCTCGTTTGTTTGTTTTTTGGCCCCTTCGGAGCATCATCTTCTTTCTCGCTTCAGCTTTTGTGCTTGAGTTCTTGAATTCGAAGGTTTGGGCTTCGGTTGTTCTTGGTTTGGTAGATTTCATCGTATCGCCTGTCGAGTGAAGATATGATTCTCTTCAGAGTTTTGCTCATTGAGTAGGAGAAATACATAATGTTAACGTTAAATACCAACTATTGTAGAAGTTCTAAGACAGAATATACGGAAGGGCGATTCTGTTGTTTTTGAATCTTTTTCTGCCTCGAAAGTCCTTCGTAGTGGAGCCATAATGATCGAAGAAGCGGCTGGACCAATTCTTTTGGAATGACGAATGAAAAAAATGCAATCTGTATGGGTGATTGCCCAATAAAAAGTTTGGGGCCAAAGCATTTCGGCAAGAATTATGAGTGACCGTTTGATTGAAGCACAAGACCGTGTCATCCGAATTTAATTTCTTGTCTCATGTTTTGTTTTTATACATCGTGCAAGGCGGTGGACCTCTCCATGTACTTGTGAGCAGAATAACTTAGCTGAAAATGGCATGATTTTCATTGGTTCTCAGCTGGTTTGTGGATTGTGCTTTGTAAATGCCATCCCGTTACTCCCTCCCGCACTTGTGTGCATGTTGCGAATGTAATTTGCAGCATCCCTTGCAATTGGAAATATTTTCATTTCGGTTATTCGTAGAACTGAGGTGTCCTTAGTTTTATATACCGGTTCATCTCAATATTTGACAATTTGCTGTTTCAGCTCACAAGCATCATATGGGGTGAGGCTAGTGAAAATGGCGAACATATAGTCCCTTATCCAGCTGGAAAGGAAGATGATCAGCCCAAGAAAATACAAAATGATGACATCGCGACCCTTAAGCCTAGTGAACAGAAGCCGCTCGGGGCAAAACTCGATCTCCATGGCATGAAGCCGGAATGCTTCAACGGAAGCAACAAAAATGGAGGGATTACTGTATCAAGCTTGGACTCGTGGCCAAATCTGTCTTCATCAGAAGCTGCTAAAGATGAGCAAGGATCTGTTGGCGCTGGAGTGTCCGATAATGTGACAGAAATTAATGAATGCAATTCGTCTAAAGGTGGTGAAAATGCTATTTCTTATGACACGAAGCACACAGCACATTTTGAGTTGACTTGTGATGTTTCTAATACTTCTCGCCAAACATCAATTTCTCCAGCGGAGACAGCCCAACATGATGCAGATACTGATATATTTGGAAATACCCAAGGTGAAGAGCATTCTGACTTTGCTGACTATGGATGGGAGAATATCAGCAGCTTTGATGACCTCGATCGAATCTTTAGGTAATGCATGACTCATTTACCTGAAAAGTGTAACGTACCACCTATATCTCTTGTGGCATTCGTGTAGTTTGCTACTTGGTAGTTATGCTTATTGCGGTTGGCATATGTATTAACGCCTAGAAAACTCTTCTCAATTGTGGATGATTGATGAGAAATAACTACTCCTATAATTCTGCTGCTAAGACTTTTTGTTGTGCTCATGCCTATTTTCTGTTGAGCGAGAAGGCAGCCTTGTAGAATAGTTAACGAAAATAACCTCCTTTCTCAAGAAATGTGGTGAGCTTTCTTGACTCTGAAAATCCCTACTTTCTACTCAGCTCACTCTCTCCTTTTCTTCTGAGATTCTTAGTTCGCATTTCTTGGGTATCCATCTGACTGAATGTCCTCACAAGTGATGATTTTGCAGCAATGATGAGCCAATATTTGGCCAAGTAAATCTTGATAAAGCTGATGAGATATGGTCTTCTTCTAAAGATGCAACAAGCAGCCCAGTAAGATCATTTTCCCTTTCTGCGGTTTCGCCCGTTTTGATTTCTGGAGCATTGACGACTTCATCAGAGATTCTGCAAGTGAAAACAGAATATGAGCATCAAGATGAGCAGTCTTTCAACCTTGGCTATGACAAAATGAATGAGCCCGCATCCATTAGTTTTCAGCAAAGAAATGCAATTGTTGAACCGGTTGCAAAGGATCAGGTACTGTAAATCACATCACTGAATGTGCAATCTGAATTAGACTATTTTCTCCTCCCATTATACGAGTGAAGTAAAGCGTTTTCCTTCTTCTCTGTAGAAGAATATGGCCATGGTAGGAAAGACCCATGCAGAAAATTCTCGTCTTTTTGTTGATAGTTCTTTTACCCTGAATGAACGTGCTGATAAGGTATTCACTCTTCTCGTGGAAAACATTGAAATTGCCTTGTCTATCCTGCCAATATCAGTAATAAATTCTGCTTCCCAAATTGCAATATATCCATGCAAGATAGAAAGCTTAAAATATTTTCCGATGGTTGCTTCATGTAGATTGAGCATTTAAATTTTCTAAGTTCCAGTTGTCCTGACAGGTCGACATTCTTCATCTTCCTGTGTAAACCACCTAATTTGACTGCTAGGACCGCTACTTGTACATGTTTATGTCGATTGAGTTTCACAGTCCCCTCCATTGAGATGTTTTCCGTCTCTTCAGGTTCTCGCTACGTTATGCAGGTTTACAGGCACAAAACACTCCATAAAAGCCAGAAGAAGTCCCCAGAAAAAGCTGAAGGGAAATTATCACAAGATATTTATGGGTCCTGGTCTTCGCATGTGGATTTGGGGGGACAGTACAGCCACCAGTTATCGCCTTTTCCATCATCTATCAATCAACTAAGTGGGATTAGAGGACCTGAGCCTACCCATTTCTTGCAGATCTCTGATCCATGTGCACAAGCTGCTGCATTCGGGAACTATACAGAATCATTTCCAGGAATACTTTCACCAACGAGCTTCCAATCCGGGGAGGTCAAGTGTTCGATCGTGTTTCCAGGGTACAAGGTGTCTTCTGCTTATGTCGACTCTACAGAAAAGAGGCTTGATTCCCCAGGAAAACCTCCTACAATGACACCCCAGGAGAAAATTGACAAGCTTAGGCGGCGCCAGCAAATGCAAGCAATGCTTGCTATAAAGAAACAGCTACAGCAGTTTGGTGACCAAGTCTCCAGTCCTTCTGATGCTCAAAAGCTTACTCTGGAAAGTCCGAATCAGCATAGCAAGGGAGCCCATTTGGAAGTTGATGATCTGAGCAGTCTGCCTTCCATTGATACAAGTTCTTCTATAGAGCAGGATGGTTCTATTTTTGTCTCTGCAGCTGTTGATGGGTGTTCAATTGAGGATGTGGTGCTTAATCGGCTTCAGGATGTGATTGCAAAGGTATGGTTATTTTTTGAGTGGCTTCTTTTCCAAGTGGGTTTTAATTTCTCTAGAATGATAAAGTGGAGTAGTGCAGTTGGACAATGGGACAAGAATCTGTATACGGGATAGCTTGTATCGCCTGGCTAAAAGTGCCGTGAATAGGCAACACACTGGTAATGTGATTGGCACTGTTGTGAATCCGCAAGATGAGCATGAAGTTTTGGCAAAGGAGGAAGCAGTGGCTAGTAACAGGTTGGTTAACAAACCCACAGGTGGTTGGCTTAGTTACGTAATGCTTTTGCAAAGAGTTATATTGTCAAGGTGACTTCATATAGGACAGTTCATCTGGTATGAGTGGTAGCATCTAATTTCAAGCGTAATTCTGTGGAACGTATGCAAATTGATTGACAATAGATTAACCCTTCTTAGGTTGATCAAGTTTGAACGGCACTTGTTGGTCTGAGGATGGTGTTCTACCTCTGCGTTTCAACCGTCGTGTAACATTTTACTTCCCGTCCTTGATGAAATTCTTAGATCAACCAAAGACGCAAATGGGTTCCTATTTTAAGAAACTTAATTACTGCAAGATGGATGCTTTTGTTTTTCTATTGCAAATAATTGAGCAGTCCTCGATGCCCTGAGTATTATGTTCATATCCTGAAGTATTGTAATAATTGTTTAGATTTGCTCCCATCCTTGTTATCTGTCATCTTGATGATAAAGCCATCGGGTAACATAAATTACCCGTTAACGAGAAAGGACAAAGGTCCTGACCAAAAAAAAACGAGAAAGGAGGAAGGGGAAAATAGAGAAGACAAAAAACGCAGAAGATCAGGGGCAATAACTTGCTTTGGGTTCATAGAAAATCAACATGTTTTAGGATCAACTCCTTTCTTGATTTCATCTATACTTGTGCCCAAATTTTCACAAAACGAAGTGTCAGTTATAGGAGCTTGAAACTTGACAAACTGTCTTCAATTGAAGTAGAAACTTGTTCAAATCACTGGCATAACTTTCTTCAAGTTGAATCTCTGGCACCAACGATAAGTTCACTGTCCATTTTGTATTGCTTGGTGTTACAGGGAGGTTAAGCCAGCTGATGTTGAAACAGACACCAATCCAATAGACCGAGCAGTTGCCCATTTGCTCTTTCATCTGCCCTTTTCCACTAAACTTCCTGGAACACCCGGATCATCAATTTCTCCGAAGCTCCCCCGCAAACACAAAGCACAAGAGGTGGCAAATGTGCAAAAGGAGGGACTGTCCAAGATCTCAAAAACTGAGCTGCAGTCCTCTCTTCAAGGATCAGAAAGTACAGACCAGATGACAGATACCCATCAGATTAGCATGGACACGTCCGAAAATGCCTATGTGCCAACAGAGGGTGGAGCTGGAGCTTTTGAATCATCGCAAGAGCAGTTAAATTCGTGATGGTAATTTATTTCTCGTCTCATCCATGATCATTTAGACTCTTCCACTACTTGGGTATGATGCTGCTAATTTGGAGGTTCTCTTTTGTTCAGCTTGCTGAAGCTTCATTGAGCGCGATTTGCGGAGTCAGAATCATTTGCTTAAGGTGACAAGTCCGGGAAAGGAGCAACTTCATTAGCATCATCTTGATTATGCCTAATTTTTGGAACTTAATTCTATGTGATATTTCAGCCATTGTGACTGAACCTGATCTCGTTACTGAAAAAACTTATTAGGACAGACTGTCAGTGATGGTGTCCGTCAAAAGTTCTTATATTGCAGAAGTTGCAGCAAATAGCAGGTGACCTCCGAGTAATTTATCAATCCTCGATCGGTTAAGTCACCTTCTTTTCTTGACCTGATTCTTAAGATGCATTTCCAGATCAATGTTCTCATTCAAATAATCTACTGTATTGTCGTACGTCCATCATTCAGAGTACCATACATTAATCGAAACGTGCTTCATTCAAGTGGATGTATGCATGTACCTGTTAGTTTGATTAATGCCTCAGTGTTCTGCTTAGCTTCTCTTTTTGGCTACCCTTGATCCTATATAAAGAGTCCTACTACCGTCTCATTTGGCTTCCTCCTGAATGTGACTACCGACGACGACGGTTGCCTGCTGTTCAAGTCAGTTCGACATTAAGGAAAACATGTTTGTCGCGGTTGAGGAAGCAACCCAAATAGAAAAGACCAAACGACAACACGGAGTACTAGTTGATCCATAACCAAGTCGATGGCATCTTCTTCTTGATGGTATCTTTGTAGAGATGTAGAAGTAAGAAGAATTGTTCTATGACAAATCGATGGTTAGATGCACCATCAAGAATCACACGATGTTTCACCACCTCTAATGCCATGGAGGCACTTTCTGAAGTTTTGGCTTGGGCTTGCCAAAAGTTCTTGAAAGTTCGTCTACTTTTTGGATATCAGGTCCAACCCCTTTCTTCTTATTCTTCACTAGCAACTCTCTGCTCTTTTCAATTTGCAAATTTCAAACGGAGAGATCTATCCTTAGCGCTTTATTAGTTTTTACCACACTTTCTTCCTAGCAATTATTCTGACAATTCCCAGAATTTTGCGCAAGATTTCCATCAGGTTACCACACCTCACACATTCCTTTAGGGCGCACATAGAATCCATTCTGGAGCAGAAATTCTGCTTCAAAATGTATTCTGGAACAGAAATGCGTTTGTTAAAAAATTTCCGAAATGCATTCTGGAGCAATTTTTGTATTTTGAAATAAAAATGCGTTTGTTAAAAATACTTGATTCCAAAATGAGTTTTCGGCAAGAAAAAGAGAAGCTATTTTTTGTAGCTTCTCTCTTCCAGAATGTATTCTCCCTCTTTTCTCTCTTTTTCGATCTCACTAATTTTTTTTAGAAAATGCATAAAAATTGAAAAATTCCAGAAAAATTCATAAAAATTTCCAGAAAATAAAAAAAAGTCAGATTTCGGGAAAATAGGAAATTTGGTGAATTTTTTTCAAAAAAAATCAAAAATTTCAAAACTTCACAGAATGGCTTATAACACATGTAACCACCCACTTTGAGTGAAATTTAAATTTTTTGAGGTGCCCAAAAAAATTAAAAAATCAAAAATTTCAAAACTTCACAGAATGACTTATGGCCACCCACTTTGACTGAAGTTTAAATTTTTTGAGGTGCAAAAAAAAAATCAAAAAATCAAAAATTTCAAAACTTCACAGAATGGCTAAGAATACATGTGGCCACCCATTTTGAGTGAAATTTAATTTTTTTGAAGTGCCCAAAAAAAATAAATAATTTCAAAACTTCACAGAATGGCTTAGAATATCTTTGGCCACCCACTTTGAGTGAAATTTAAATTTTTTTAGGTGCCAAAAAAATCAAAAAATAAAAAATTTTAAAACTTCACAAAATGGCTTAAAATACCTGTGGTTATCCACTTTGAGTGAAATTTAAATTTTTTTAGGTGCAAAAAAAATCAACAAATCAAAACAGATTTCTGTTCCAGAAATCAATTTCTAGAGCAGAATTAGTCATGTTTTATCAAACAGATTTCTCCTCCAGAAATCAATTTCTGGCAAGAATTTGATTTCTGGAGCAGAATGGTTACCATTCGCGCCCTTAGGTTCCATCGTAATTGCTCATATGCTCAAATGATTACTTGTGCATCGTATCAGATAGGGCCAGGTTTACACACCACAGTATTACGCGGCAAAATGCGATTCATGAAGACAAAATTCGAATGTAACACTTCACGACGTGGATAACCTCGTGGATCAACACAAACCAACATGTTTTCACCGCAAGTCAAAAAAAAATTTCTGATCATAAAATCGAATTTGTAATGTCTTGTACCATTCAGACACGACCGCTTTAGTAGAGAAAAACCATAGGCTCAAACGTAGAGAGCCCACAACCCAAATACAAATTTCGGATTCCGAGCATTTTCTGCGTTCCTCCTCAGTTTATGCGGTATGGCGTGTCGGTTGGTTTAGACCATCGCGTGTGGTCAAAACTCGATGGGAGGTTGCGTTGTGTGAATAAAGTTGCGAACTTGGAAGCCGTCGTCCCTCGCCATCGGAGCTGATGCTCGCGGCTTTTTGCTCATGGAAGAAGAAGAAGAGCAGAAGCCGGCGATGACGCCATGCTTCAGCAGCAGCAGCAAGAGGAGGAAATCGAGATCAGGGGCTCCTTCATTCGCTCCAATTAACAATCTTGATGATGGGTGTCTCATGCACATCTTCAGCTTCCTGTCTCCTATCCCAGGTATACTCTTTGGTTCCATCCCCTTTCGACTTCTCTTTTGCCCTAATTTTCATCATTTCGATTTTCCTTCCGCACATGTAGTTTCGGGAACTTCCCTGTAGCTCTCCGGATTCTTGATTTTCGCTAAAAATTTGTGTTGGGACTCCTGTCTTCATGTATGGTTCGAATGTACATGTGCTGTTATCTACTGGCGTTGAAAGTTGGGGTCTTTCCGTAAAGCCATGTTGACTGGGTAGTCCATCGAAAGCTTTGACTGATTAGAACTTCGGGGAGCAGGACATTTCAGGGCAGGCTGATCGACTTTTCCCTGAAAATGACGAACTTCACGAGAATGATGCTTGGAATTGGAGGGTTCCTGAGGTGTTCCCATAGTTTAGGCGACCAGCGACAATTCGAGCATTTCACATGATAGTTTAGTGGCCTTCCCATCCCATCGGAGATTTACCTTGCACTTTCTTCTACATTTGGCTTTTTCAGGGTACGCGTGTAAACTAGGATTCTAGGAATCCTGGTTCTGCTTGGCGTCACTCCCAATTTGTTTCGCAGGGTGTACTTCTCTTTATGAGTTAAAAGAAAAGAAGATGTTCTCTGTTGTTTATACAAATATATACTTGTCACCACTTTAGCCATATCAATTATGGGTAGGTAGTTATGGGCTGCAGACTATACACTCAGTTGAAAACCCTTTTTTTCACTAATTTCCCAAGCAAAATTGCTTTTTCAAGGGGTCGGTCTATCTGAGTTATTCGATTTTAATACCCATCAACTAATGAGGCTAAAATGCGCTCGAATAGACGTAAATAAGCACGTTTTTTAAACTGGGCCGCAAGACCCAGTCGGGTAAAGAACAAGGCACTATGCGCGCACGTGGGCAGCGAGTGAGTTGGCGTTCAGTGTTCTTTTTCAATGCAGTTTTTTGCGTGGAGATCCACACGCCGTTCTCTATTTTAGTATAATTTTTTAGAAATGTATTACAGTATAAAAATTATTTATGGTACATTTTCTTTTAGTACAATAGCGGGCAAATTTTTTACATCCTTAGTTTCTTGGATGCAAGGTGCTACAAAATTACTTTAATACATGAGAAAAGTAATTTCAGTATTCACTCTCCTTAATACAATAACATTGGCGATTTTCTCTTGCATACACCCTAATATGAGAAACATCATAGTGTGTCGTGGATGCCCTAGCTGCCAAAGCAGCTATTGACAGTGACAGGTGAAATTTTCTTATGGGATACATATGTGTCTAAAATGTGGGCTTAGCACATCTTCATCCCGTAATAAAATATGGCTGGACAATCGGTGTATGCGAGTATTTTAACAGTAACTTGTGATGAATTGGCCTATCAGAATGCAAACTATAAAAACGTGCTATAGTCTCCTCTCCCTCCTCATTTGATATCATATAGTACAGTTTATCCATCAAGACCATCTAAGGGATGAGAAGGAGAGGATGACCTAGTCCCAGAATTGTACGATAGACTTGCTAAATTGGGTTTGTAGGTACTCAATCAATTTCTCATTTGGGGTGTGTAGGATCTTTTTCTTATTTCTGTAGCTTGAATGCCTCTCTCTCTCTTTTTTTTTGGTTTTGTGGGAGTGCCACAGACCTGTTAGCACTCAGTAATAGTTTGATACTTTGTTGGAGCATCTCTCTTCATATTATCTGATATCGTTTGCTTGTGCAATATCTAGTACTTTATATGATGTTCTAAAGTACATGAATTTAATACTTATAAAGGCCAACATATTTAACTCCACCCTGTTCTCCAAGAAGAAATACACCACTGATGCATGCTTGATATTATTTTATTGCGTTGTCTGTCACAAATTGCTGTTGAGTTTGCAGATCGTTATAACACCGCCCTCGTTTGCCACAGATGGTGTTACCTGGCATGTCACCCTCAGCTGTGGCTACGAGTAGATCGGTCTGTAAAAGATTCATCAGAGTCAGGAGTTTTCCCCAATATTGAGTCAGCTGTCTCTGCTGCAAGGTCCATAAACATCCTCTGTGTAGTTTATTGGATCACTTAATGAGTTATGGAAATCTGATGCTATTTTGCCCTCATAGACCTGGAGATACCATTCTCATTGCAGCAGGTGGAAGTCATGTTGCCTCTAATATTCAGATAAACAAACCACTTTGCCTGGTATATACACAACTTGCTTTAACTCAAAATTGCTGTTGTTTTCGGAGCTAGTGCCATGGATGGACAATTTATGCGATATATTATCTTTTACTGATAAAGAAAATGTTATTATTGTATAATCCTATCATTTTCTAGCGTGAACTTTCAGTTATTCCCATTATACTGTTGTTAGAGCATGTCCTAGGGGCTTCGAGTCTCTGACTAGTATTACAGGCAGAACTAGCCTTTTTTGAGAAAGAAATGTAAGTAATAGTTGAGGGAGAAAAAGTTGTTCGATAGACAGTAGGTGGACTAAGAGAAGCCACTTGATGATTGTTTCATTACTTACTTGGCTAGTTCTTAGTTCTACTTTCAACCTGTGTTAGGGTAAAATTATTGTTTTAGGGGCAAATGGCATTTAGATGTTTCTTGTGTATGTG